TATGGAGCGGCAAAAGCGCCAGGTTTACTCCTCTTAGGCAATGCGTCGTCGCACTCTGTTGCCGGGTTGAAACTGAGCAATGTACGCGTTTACTTCCTCCCACCTAACACTACATCGAAACTCCAGCCGTTGGATGCTGGTATTATCGGGGCACTGAAACGAAGTTATCGCCGCCGTCAGCTTCAATACGCCCTCGACAAAGAAGAGGAAAGAGTTGATGGAGATATATACGCCGTAGACCAACTATTAGCAATGAAGTGGGTTAAGTCATGCTGGAAGGATCTTGACGGTGAATTGATATTGAACTGCTTCCGCCACACGGGTATTGTTTTGGGTAGGTCATCATCCCGTCGGTCTCGCAAAGACACCAAACAAATTATTCGCAACGATCTAATGGAATGCATGGCACGCCTACGGATTCGTAACCCCATGGACGTCGACGAGTTTGTCTGCAATCCTGCTGAGCAATAAACGGAGATCGAGTCGCTTACAACAGACGAACTTTTGAGCGAGGCAACGGATGATCTATTTCTCAGCACAACCAGTAACGGTCCTGAGCAGGAGGAAGAAGGCGGGGACGATGAAAGCGCAGTTATTTTCACCCCAAAGGAGAAAGTGGATGCCGTTCGATGCGTGCTTTTTCAGCTAGCGGATCACCCTGATATCGAGCAGAACCTCCTAAAAGGGCTTCGTTCACTCCAAGCGCGTGTGTGCAATGAACTCCGGGTCGAAGAGGAAGAATCTCTGAAGCAGACAGCGATTACAAGCTTGTTTCAACCCGAAACAGGCCGCGAATAGGCCGAAAAGCAGCATCAAATTCGGCCCGGTGGAGATATTACGTATAATCTTTAGAAGTTATCAATTAAGCTCCATACATTTTCTTGACTACGGATCGATGTTGTATCACATACAGCAGGATATAAAGTTTATCAATAATTATTTAGGACAGGGTGATCTGTACTGCTATTTTTAAATTTAAAACGGTTTAACGTTTACTAAACTAAACCGTTTAGTAAACGAAACGTCACCTCCCAAAATAGGAAGTGTTTTAGTGTCTCGGTTGACCCACAATAATCGTAGCGTGGCATTCCTACGCTCCAAAGTCAAACACCAGTGAATCGGCAGCTCCCAGCACACTACACTACAGTCGTGATCCCGCCTACGATTCCGCTAGAAATGCATCGTCAGCTTCTGGAACGCCTGCTGCTCGGCGTGTGCGCATGCCAACTGGCCGTCGAGTTCATATTGACCACGACTGGTGACATTGGATCAATCGCTGGTTGGTGCGTCGTCTCGTTACTGCTGATTTTGCATTCTCCACGACTCGAGCTCTCGCCGCTATATGCGTCGCTCTGTCTGTGCGTCCTCCGTCCGGTGCTACTCGCATCTACTACGCCTGCCACCTCCGCATCCTGGTCGCTACAGTTAACGTTTAAGGCCCTCAGCTCTATCTTTGTAGCTCTAGCTTGGGCCTCATCGCTCCTTTTCCCCTGGCCGGACTTCTCCCAGCTCTATGGTCCCTATCAGACCATCGGCTGCCGCTCGACGCGTCTGGGGGGCGTCGAATGCCGCGTCTTCTACCCGTCAACGGCCAATCTACAGTCTGAGACTAAGAAGCAAAGCACCAACCAGAACTTGGTGCCGTATCTACACCATGGCCGCCACCTAATGCAAGGACTGGGCGTTTTCTCCAAGATGCCGGCGTGGCTCTTTCACAACATGAACAACGCGCATCTCGCAGCTTTTCGAGACGCTCCAGTGGCACCACCTCCAGCCGGTTCAGACGGCTGGTCACTGGTCATCTTCAGTCATGGTCTCGCTGGGTCACTCGAGCTCTACTCATACGTGAACCAGCAGCTCGCAAGCCACGGAAATGTGGTTGTGGTGCCCAACCACTGCGACGGATCGGCTTGCGTCTGCAGTCCGGAGCCTGGCCGCATTGAGTATTACCAGCAGATCACATCAGAAGTACGGGACGACATTGACGGAGCAGGCTTTCGCTTCCGCAACGGACAACTGCAACAGCGTGTTAGTGAAGTGCGCGCAGTGCTGGATGCGATCAAGGAAGACGCTACAGCAGACAGCATATTTGGTCGCTGTGATTTGACCAATGTGAGTGTTGCTGGACATTCGTTTGGGGCGGCTACAGCGCTCAGTGCTGCACACCAAGACGAGCGATTCAAGAAGATGGTGCTGCTGGATGCGTGGATGGAGCCGCTGGATCATGACGTACGTGACGGACTGGGCCCGCATGTCCCTGCGCTGCATTTGATGTCGGAGCACTTCCTTCACTGGCGTCCCAATGCCGAGAGCACCGAGCGTCACGCGCGTGGATGTACCCATGCACAGTCACGCCTCACGTGGTTGCGTGATACGCGCCACAACAATTTCTCCGATATCCCCGTGTTTTCGCCGACTATTAACCGACTCCTCAAGTCTGCCGGTAAGATTGATCACTTTTACGCTCTCCAGGCTATCGGCCAGTTGTCCGCCGCCTTCTTGGCCGGCGATTTTGATGCCTGTGCGGCCGAATTTCCTGAACTAAACACTGCCACCACCGCTAAATAGGAGAACAAGACCAGCTTAGATGAATGGCGACGTTCTTGTAAATACTACTACTAGCAGGCCATTGCAATAGACTCCATTCCTTGTGCTTGGTGCTTTATGAAGCAAAGACTGACAACTAGCTGTTGATGCAACATATGGCTTCCCCATTTATTTACTTAACGACTGGTACAACGCAGTAGTCACACTCAGGCTACTCTATTTCTCCTTGGCACCGCACCACTTGACTTGGAACGGTGATGCCCTCATAGGCACAGCTCAACTGCGTGGGCACAGGAGCAGCTTGGATCACCAACTTAATCAACGCGAGTCACAGGTGCTGAACGCAACTCCGTCTTCTGCGAGCCCCGGCGAAGGAAAAAGTTCCTCACGTCGGTGATGGTACTGAGAAGCACAGGTAGTAGTAGCATGCCATTGAGTACACCACAGAGCACCACCATCATGTACATGCGGAAGTAGTACTTCTTGAACACACGCGAGTCGGCAAGAGTTAGCACACTGAGACCGATGACCTTGGTGATAGTGATACCGAAAATCACCGAAGTGAACACTTGACGCAGAGCATCGCGAGCACGCTCGTCACCCGTGCCTTGGGCCTTGGCGAAGAATCGAACGTAATGACCGCAGAACTCCACTGCAATACCAGCCGCAATAATCAAGTTCACAATCGACAGACCGTTCAGCATAATGTCCAGTGGCTGCATCAGACCCAGCACAAGCACCACGAGGTTCGTCGCCATCAATGCGATCGTCAGCGCATAGAAGACGCTGCCCAGATACAGCGTTGTGATCACGAAGATAGCCGCCAGCGCAAGACCGATCAGTCTGTAGGCGTCTTCAATCACAGTCAAGTACTGCTCGAAGTACACGTACGTTAGCGAGTACACCCAGATGTCGACGCCAGTCTTTTCGCTGATCCATTCGGCCGCGGCGAGGTTCTGCTTGTACGAGTCGATATAGCGCTGCTGCGTCGGGTTGGACGTACCCGTTACCATGTACGACCAAGCTGTGATCTCGTCACCGTAGCCACTGCTGTTGATCTTCACCGCAGGCGTCGAAGCATTGACAGTCGGAATAGGTTCATCGTCAATGCTGAACTGGCCACGGTAGATGGAGCCACCACCATACGAGCACGATGTACCAGCACTGGCCGTCGCGAACATACTGAAGAGCGACATGTACTGCGCCTCCGGTACAGGCGGCACAGTCACCGACGTAGCCAAACACGTGCCAGCTTCCGCACGCAGAGTTGTGTACGTGTCGTTGCCACTCTCGATCGGAACATACGCACCCTCGGAATCCACACGGCAGCACTCGCTGTCAGGGTTCACGAAGCCCCAGTAGTCGTCCATCCACGAGTACGTCGTACCGGGACTGATGTGAGTGACGGTTTTGTCGCCGTGGTTGGCCAGTGCGTTCATGATATTGGGGATCGAGTAGGTGCCGCAGATATCCTTCGACTTGCAGAAGATCGTCTCCACACTCTCATCGTTCAACGACCACTTCTCCGGGTTCCGTCCGTAGCCCGTTTCAACAATGAAGTACACAGGCACACCGGTTGCCAGGTACACGTCCAGCGCATTAAAGTATTCAATCATGTACGAGTCAGACGGCATCGCCTCCTTCTGCGGAAGTCCTTGGTCCAGTGACTCCATCGAATAGATCGACCATAAAGTCCATCCAAGGAAAGCCAACAGCACAACCAGCTTCACAAGTTTGTAGGTCAAGAACGACGCGTAGACGTCCACACAGTGGCCAAGAACATCGGTCAGCGTGCGGTTCTCTGGGGTTACAGAACGACGAACATCTTCCGGTGCAGGCGTCTTGGGCTCAAACGACACGAGAGGCTCTGCCGTCTGTTGAGTTTGTGGACCAGCGGCAGGTGCCTGAGACCTCACGTACGAGGCACGCTTGAAGATGATATCGTACTTGCCACTCAGTTCACGACGCTTGTCCAGAGTGAGAACAGAGAGGAACAAGGTCATCTGGAAGCAGAAGTTGATCGCCACAGCGCAACAGGCCATAGCTGCGAACCACAGCACCACAGGCATCGCAGAGATGGAACCGAAGGCAAAGGCCACCGATTCAGCCGCAGATGCCATGAAGATACTGGGACCAATGTACGCCAAACTCTCCGACACGATCGTCGTGGTGATTTCCTCAATCGCCTTCGGGTTGTGCTCAAGACCAACAAAGAGACTCGGTTGTTCACGACGCATCTGGTCCTCCTTCTCGGTCATAGCGTGAATGAGGAGGAAAATGTTGTCGACACCGATCGCCAACGACAGGAAAGGGACGACCTCCATAATAATTAGCTGAAGTTTGACTCCGAACCACATGTACAAGCCGATGGTCGACGCCACACCACACACGATACTCATGACACCGCAGAAACCAGCCACAATCTTGGACGAGATGAAGAACTCACGGCCGAACTTGATGCGGTTGATACCCAGAGAAATGTAGATGATCATCAGACAATAACTCAGCGCCACAGGACCCATACCGTTGCTAGATTCAGCATCCACCTCGTCTTGAACGGAGATCTCGGCGTAGAAGTAGACGTTAAACACCGAGTTGGACTCGGCCTCCTTCTTCATCGTCTTGATGTACTCACGCTCCCACTTGATCGCAGGCTCGTTCTTGTCATCGTCAGCGTAGTTGTAGTTCAGATACGAAGAAACAAAAGCAATCGAGTCCAGGAAGAGCGTGTAGTTGCTCTCAGCGCCGTCAGGGAATCCACCAAGGTATGTGTTGTACAGGTTCATGGGTGATCCGAACGTGGACAAACACGGACAATCACTCATAGTCGAGGGAAGCGAGTCGCCGTCCTCCAGAGCATTCTTCAACTCAGTGCAAAGCGCCACATCTGACGTCGTTGGAGAGTACAGACAATTACTAAAGTGCTCCAGTTCGAGGCCATATTTCTCGTAGAACTCAAAGTGCTCCATGTTGTTCTGGAAGTACTGAGTGATCGAGTTGATCGTACAGCCCGTACCCGTAGCCTTCCAGCAAATGTCGTCCAGGGTGATGGTCTCGCCATCATCCGAAGTGTAAACCACATTAGCAGCCACGTTCTGGACGCGGATAGCCTCCTTCAAGATGGCGGAACGGTAGATGTTGCCTCCGTCCTTGGGCACCATAATGAGCTGCTCCGAGCGGTAGAACGGGTTGAAGAGATCACCGTAGTGCTGGCGTTCCTGGTACGAGGTACTTGATGTGGATACCCACAACTTGATCGGATCCGTCTCGATTTCAATGTTGTACAGGCCAATACAGCAGACAGCGACAACGCACAACACGCAAGGGATGATCTTCTTCGGTCGGTTGCCAGTCGAGACAAACACCGCCCAATTACGCAGCTTGTTGGTCATGAGTTCGTCCAGATAACTCAGACGCTTGGTGTTCGTCTCCATTGCATGAGCAACACCATGAGCCTCGGGCGTGTACGGTCCGATCTGAGGCGTACCAGTGTGCGGGTTGGGAATGCGAGATCGCCGCTCACGACAGCCAGCGATAATGAAGCCCACGATCAATAGCAGAGCGCCAACTGCACCAAAGATCACAAGGAAGTAGTTTAGTGGCTCCCAGTCCGTCACTGGAATATTGGCAGCCAGATACGCGTTCAGCTCAGCCCACGTCGAGTCATCACCAGAGCCGGCGCTTCCGCTGCCTGAAGCTGAAGTCGCAACGGCACTGACAGCTCCATAACACGACTCAGTGTACGTGCGGTCGTCGTCGGAGCTCACGGCACACAGAGAGCCACAGACACCGACACAGGACGTCATTTTGTTGTTCATTGGCAGAATGCAGTTGGTCGCGTTCACATTGTCACAGTGACAGAACTCGGTCATCTGTGTGAGTTCGGGCATCTTGTCCATGGTTGTCACGTTGATCTGGAGTGGGGATCCGATACTGTTGTAGGCGTATTTGCCCATGTACTCCATGAGGCCGTAGCCGTCGTGGCAGTCCTGGTTCGGGTTACACAGCAGAGAGAAGGAGCTGTCGTCCTCGCAAAAGTCGTAGATATCTCGGATCCAGTCGTTGCCCACGTAGTACGTGAGTTCTTCCACGGCAGGGAACACGGCGTCTGCGTGTTCGTCATCTCCTCCCATGATACGAACCTCGTTGACGTCCAGGAAGAGACTGTTGTTGGGACTGCATGTCATCTGACAGAAAATGTTTCGTAGATTCTCCTTACAGGCCGAGCACAGACCGGGAATCATACGGACTTGTGTGGACAGACCTGTGTACTGGGACTCGGTACAGCAGAGCATGTCGTCGCCCTGGGCGATGGTCTGGTTGTAGAGTAGAGGGCAGTCCACTTCGAACTGCTCGCGGTTGGAGTCCGACCACTCGGAGAATTTGTTGGAGAAACCTGCGTCGTACGCGTCCTCGACAGACGTCGGGTAGTATCGGTTGGGGATAGCGGCACTAGGGGTCGTGACGTTCACGTAGGACGAGTCAAAGGCTACGCAGTGACCTGGGGCACGCACGAGGACGCCGAGCTCATGCACGAGCGCTGGGTCGTGGATGCATTCCTCCACTTTCGAGTAGCTGCACATGGTGAGCTGCGACCTGAGGTCGGCCAAGACAGTCGCGTTGTCAGCGAGTGTCCATGGCACGTAACTGGAGACGGACGAGGTGCCTGACGAGGCAGTAGCCGTGGCTGTGGCTGTAGTGCTGGTCGTCGCCGTCGTCGACGTTGATGTCGTTGTCTGAGCAACGACGCCGCCCATGGGCAGCAGCAGCGCCGCGAAGGTCGAGACGCGCATGGTCGAGCGGATTAATGTGTAGAAGGGAGAACTACCAGTGGAGAGCGGCAAACCCTAATCAGCCGAACGCTCTCGCAGCTTGCTCGATTGTCGGTAGATTTCAAACTGAGCTCTCTCGCGGGTGGATGGTAGTTGCAGCGACACACTCGGACAGTGAGCAGTGAATCCACGCCCATCCATGCAAAAGATTAAAAAGACGTTGATCAGCTTCCAAGCGAGATCAGAAGTGCGAGCGTCTGCGGATACTGCGCCTGCGACGTCGACTGAACACGGCTATGTCTGGATCCCATGTGCCACGCTGTGACCGCGACTTGGCCAGACGTCGGCCCTCCGTTTCATCTGCGTCTTGGAGACTTGGAGACGAACGGCTTGTCTCGCGACGGATTACTCACGAAACAAGATGGCAGACCACGGTGCGCCTGAATCAGGCCGCTACGCGAAAACGAGGACTCACTCCTGGTCGGAATGGATCCCCCCCCACCCGGCTCTCATGTGTGCACGGAACGCTGAGCATCATATTTGGAGTACATATAAATGGCGATCGGTTACCGGAAGCGATACAGTGTTGGTGGTGGTGACCCGCACGCTGGTCGGAAGCGAATCCGCAGCAGCGACTGCTACGACTGAAGCGGCCACGTCAGTCTGAGCGACAGCACCGCGCCAGCAAAATCGTCACTAGCAGTGCCAGGACATCACACAGCAGCAGTGCGATGATGCTTGATGGCGGTGGTGGTCGTGCTCGAACAGCGGCCATCTCAAGGTTACCGCGGGTGCGAGGATCGATTGAGCAGAGGGATTAAATCTATGATCGCAGAGGAACATCAACATTAAAAGACATTACACTCTTCTGCTGCTACTTGCACATGTACTACGTGCTCATTTTGTTCTCGTTCTCTCAGTTCGAAGTGGGCACATTCAGGATTCCAACGTGCCTTACCAAACAAGTCTTCTCTTGCAAGAGAAGACTTGGGTCCACTTCAAGGGAAATATGATGGGCAAACTGACACTGCTTGCTACAAGCGTGGATCCCGATTCATTTATATATCCAAGTTATATTCATAATTATAGAGCTAACATGGATACACTGTTGTCGTACAATTATCCATTTTACACTTACTTAAATATCCTTTCGGTGACGCTTTCTGAACCGAATCTGAACTTTGACATGTCTCTTCTGACTGCAATGAAGTTTTAGCCAATCAAATCATTTATCCAGAAGCTAAACGATTTGATTCGCTAAAACGTCTGACGTTTAGTACTTTTCGAAGTATTCACCATAACTTTTAAGTAATATTTAAAAATAGTAATAGTAATTATTACTACCATATTAGATCTGGTCTGATTCTGATAATTATTTGAGTTTTCAGAATCAGACCTGATCTGATTAGGTAACCGCGAACGGAAAATCTTGTTGTTCGTAAGCTGATGGCAGAAACTGATCCGTCTGAGGCACTTAGCATTACTAGAAGCCTTCTGAGCAAGAGCTTATTCGAATATAACAAGAACAAGCTCATGCAAGAAGCAGTAGCTCATTACCTCCCATTTTAAACACTTTCAAAATATCATTCAGGATGCCAAATCGTATTGTGAGTTCTACTCAAAATTGGACAGGACGGTTCTTTGAATGAATCTCCCCCAAATCGCCCAGCATTTACAATTACGTATACTGACCCGTTTAAGGACGAAATAAGATCATGACAAGTGGCAAGAAAAGACTTGGTGTTCTACTAATGACTTGGGTTTGTATTGTGAGTTCTACTCAAAACTGGATTGCACGATTGGTTAATCGCCCACGCTCAATGACCCATGCAATCGTTCAGCCTATCATAAATCATAAGGAAACATTACCGAAGATAGGTTTCAATTGCGGGCTGCAAAGCAGCGCGCACCAGCAACTTTTCCTGCATCAGCACGGCAATGGATCCTCAGTCTCACGTGTCGCTTGGGGTCGCAAGAGGCTTTCGATCAGCTGACACTTCGCCGGCGAATGGTGCGCGGAATGGCGCTCGCACGCGTGCATCGCCACATTCAGCTCGTGTATCGCCGTACCCTGAGCGCATTCGAACATCAACGGGAACACCACCACCTCCAGGACCAATACGACGGCGGACACCACCAGCCGTAACCGCCAGTGCACGCTCGAATCCAATTCCAGCGCCATCTACATCTCAACAGCCTACTCTCGGGGCAGCAAGGTCACCTGCAGCGTCAAGTCGAGCTAGGCGTTCTCCCTTCCCTAGTACAGCGAGTCAACCGCGGACTCCAAGTTCAGCACCACGCCGAGCGTCACCCCGAGCTGCATCGCCTATTGGTAGACCTGAACAGCAGCTACCAGCCTCTCCACTGAACGCAACATCGCATCAATATCAACTTGTGGTCCAACCTATCCTTAAAGCCACAATGAGCCAGCGAGATGCATCCGGGGAGTCGCTAAAGGACTTTGCGGTAAATGGATCGACGTTTCGGGAAATAGCCCACAAGTTATGGGAGCATTTTGGGCACCACGTGAAAGGGCGAGCTGTGAAACACAATGGAATTTGGTCACTTGAACCTCCTGCTGAAGACCAATGGCAAAAGATGATGCAGCTTAAACTCAATAAGCATCTTGTCGACAGCACCAAGACAGAGGCCGCCTGGAACTAGTGGCTTGTTTCGTCACGGGGTAAAACTGTCAAGCTTCTAATATTTAGGTACGGAATGGCAATTACTAAAGCGAAGGACTTGGATAATTTTGAGGCAACGTGTATCCGCCCACGAGAAACTGATCGTGCTGGAGCTACTGCTGAGGTTTCTCTTCGTGAAGTTGCAAACGAACTAGAAGCACATTGGGGGTCCAGGTTTCAAGCCACGACCGTAACGTGGAGACTGTGGGCAAACCATATAACCCGAAATCTAAACCGTTCGAACAGGAGGGAAAAACTTTTGCAGCCCCCACCAGTTTACATCGTTCAGTTGTTACGGGCTTCGGCTACGCAAGTGGAACAAAGGATGGCAAATCTTACTCGATCAGCTCGTATGGCTCAGGACTGTGTGGTTGGGTCGCTGGCTGCCTATGAAGCTCTGCATCAAGAATGGACTGCATTTGGTGAACGCTCACAACGAGACTGGGCTGCATTCGGTCAACGGTTAGCCGCTCACAAAGAAAACTTGACGTCAAAACAGAATGCGATTGATGCATTTCTGGGGGATCTGGAGCTGATACCTATTGCGGAGGTGGTTGACCCTCTTCCACTCATCGAGAATATTGACGACTTCGAGCACGCGGAGTAGCTAGTTCTCGGAGTCGTACTCGTAGTCGTTGCAGCCTTCTTGCTCTCTAAATCCTAATTCGTCTTCGTCGTTATCCGGTCTTAATTCCCTTCCCAGTATGTCTGGCACTTGCCGAGTCTCCGTCGATATAGGGCCATTAGGATCAAAGTATCCCTGGACCTTCCAGCCACAATGGTCAAACACTCTCGCCATACTAAACTCTTCGAAACGCTGGAAAGTCTGGACTGCAAACGGTAGAAGGTCTCTCTCGCTGCATTCATTATAGTGGCGCTGAAATGACCTTTTGACGTACCCGAATAAATACTTGATCGGGTTGAAGAATGGACAGTAAGCTGGAAGGAATATCGGTACAACACCAATGCTTCTGAGAAAGTGAACTATCTCGGGGTGACGATGTATTGAAGCACCGTCAAGGATCCACACAGAGTTAGAGCCTGGATAAAGCCGCACGTTATTGCGCTTCGCGTAGGCAAAGTCTCGACAGCTCTTGACAAATTCAATTCGATCAAATGTGCCTTGAGTATCAAAGTAGTCGATGATACCACGTACACCAATAAATGCCAATTTGGACACCGTTGGCTTCCGCTGAAAATCGCCCCTAATAGCGAGTTTTTGTCCCTTGAGCGAGTAGCCGCGTTTCCGGATCATCCCTCGATTGTCAAAAGAAACTTCATCCAGGAATACCAAGTTGTGATGGCACCAGTCGATCTGAGCTAGCTCCTCTACAAAACGGAAGATATCCCTTTCCTTGACATGCATTGCTCGCCTTTCAGTACCTTCCATGTCAATCCGAACTCGTGAATAATGCGCCAAACGGACGACTTTGAAATTGTGATGTTATGAGCTCGTACAAACGCGTCTTGAGCCTCGTCAAGATAGGAAAGAGGGTGTTTTGCGTAGTAGTCACAAATCCATGACCGGTGGGCGGCTGAAAACTTCCTTTCACTCGATTTTCCTGCTCGTTCAAACGTCCCTGAAGCCTCGTAGACGCGAATCCAGTTGCCTATCGTGGTGTCGGACTTGTTATAGATTCCAGCGAGCTCCTTGCGCGAATAACCAAGATTGTAGAAGCCGTATAAGCAGTGAAGTACCGTGTTGGGATGCGCATGTTGCTTGGTTACGGCGTCCTCCATGCTTCTGATGTGATCTAGCCTACAGTGTTGCACTACAAGGCTAGTAGCGTCAATAACACATCAATAAGATGAACTAGTTAAATAGAAGTGTGTGGATGGTATGCCTTGATAATAAAAGCGCTCACCTGGTTACAGAGAGCACCGCTACGGTACCGCAGAAGTTGATGCGTTCGCACTGGTTGTCCCCGCGCTCTGCTTGAAGAGCTTTAATGGAAAGCTGCTACTAGTAGATTTTGACCAATCACATCGAGCCGTTGATTGGGCTGGCGATTGACCAATCACCCTTGATGTCCAATTTTGACTGGAATTGACAATAAGAAGGCGATTGTCCTCCCGCTCCTCGAACAGACCCAAATCGGCAAATTTAGACGGAATTCACAATATTAAATATTAACTAAGACAGAAAATATTAAGGTCTTTACTGATTCCCTATCAACCAAAACGGGAGATCGAAAAATAGCCATTTTTGATCATCTATCGCGATATGTGAAATGATAAGCATTATTTATGGGAGTTGAACCTGTATTAGAATTTCCGAAGTTATTTTGCCGTTTTAATGCAAAACGTTACTAATCGACTTTAATATTTACAAAATTTAAAAATCAGATGCAAAGTATTAATAATTGATCTCATAGTACTATCATATAGTATTAGCAAATAAATTATCATTTGCTTCAATTGAGACGCAGTTGTTATCTTCTTGATGTCGTATTACTTGCAATCAACAATGCTTTTCTGTTCGTAAATCATCTTTCTCTGTCGATAAGCACTGTCGTCAATTCCATTAAATGGAACTGGCAATGATCTTTGTTGAGCACAGCAGCTACATGGACATGCATTAGAATGAGCTGTGCTTGCATGTTGTAGACGCACTCGGCATCACGTCGCCCCAGGCCGCTACTTGACGGTGAATTGTGAATATTAAATATTCACAATAATGGCAAGAAATTTTCTTGCCATAATTTCGTCTTCGTGCCATGTAGATATCGAGTAAAGCTGCTGGCGGGGTGTGTTTTTGTCGCTCGAACGTACTGGTGGAACTACCTGTGCACTAACATCAATGTCTGCTATCGTTTGTAGCCCATTCGTCGAGTGTTTATCGTCCTCTTCGTCGGGTAAGTTCGTACCCGCCCTTTTCCGCATTTCAAAAAATGAGGGCGGGAAGACACCCTCCATAAGATTATAAAATTATAAAATAAGCGATTCTCATGCTATCCGTTAATCGCAATGCCAGAATGGAGAGTGCAATCTCCAATTGAGGCATGCTCGAAGGCTCGACGACGCGGGTGATCATCCATCTGGACCTCGACTGCTTCTACGCGCAGGTGGAGCAGCGGCGTCTCCAGATCCCGGATGGGCAACCCGTTGCAGTGCAGCAGTGGGGGAGTCTACTGGCCGTCAACTACGAAGCGCGCAAGTTTGGCGTGAAGCGAGGTGGGATGCTGAACGTTGAATGTATCCTAGCAGACTACTCCTTAGCATTAACAGGAAGGATGCTGAGCTTTTAGGGGACTTTATCGACGACGCGAAAAAGAAATGCCCGCAGATTCACCTGGTATGTGTTGCCAACGTCCAATGTTCGCCGTTGATCAGCCTACAATACGCTTTTCCGTTATGCTGGATCATGAAGCTGACAGTCATTGCTTGCAGCCGCACGTAGATACATTGGGCGAGAATCGCAAGCCAGGACAGCCCTTCGACCGCACGCACCAAAAGGCCATCTTACGTAGGTATCGCGTCGCTAGTCGCGAAATCTTTGCCATTCTAGGCTCCGTGGTGTCGATTATCGAGAAGGCAAGCATCGATGAAGCGTTCATGGACGTCACCGATATGGCCAAGGAGAGACTTGCTCAGACGGTGAGAAAATGCGCTTGCTGCAGAGCTTAATACCGCATAACTCATGATGTTTTTGCTTCTTTTATTTGCCTCTTGTAGACTGCATTTTCGTCAGATTTCTGCCAGGACTCAGCCAACCACGATACGAAAGTATTTGGCATTGATTCAGAGGATAACAATGATGAAGATGCAACCGACAAGGACGATAGTTTGCAGGCGTTCCCTTTGACGGACAACGAGCGGCTATTGTGCATTGGTGCAGAGATCTCCCGCGAGATTCGCCATGCAGTCTACAGCAAGCTTGGCTACACTTGCTCAACGGGTATTGCAGGCAACAAGCTGCTTGCCAAATTGGCGTCTCCACTCAACAAGCCTAACGGTCAAGTTGTCGTGGCATCTCGCTTCGTTACGGATCTCATGAAGATTTTACCAATGCGGAAGATTCGAGGACTTGGCGGCAAACTTGGCAAGCAGCTCGAGAGTATTTATTCAAGTCTCGACTCCGGTGTTTCCGAACAAGGAGAAGGAGCTGAAGAAACATTCAAGAAGCTGACCGCGCACACTTTCCTGCAGCACTGTGGACTGGCTGAGTTGACTAAGCACGTGGGTCAAGAAACGGCTGCGTATGTTCACCGGATCTGCCAGGGCAATGACGATAATGAACCGGTGGAAGAGAAGAAGGTTCAATTGAAAATGTTCAGCTGCGTAAAGCAGTTCGACCAGCGCTCCGGGTCAGCATTGGTGCGTGTGGAGCAGCTCGAGTACTGGGTACGGCTGCTATGTGAGGAGGTGGTCGTGCGTTGCGAGGACGAGCGCATCGAGAACAAGCGCTTTCCGTCGCAGTTAACCATCCAGTTCATTCGTGCTAAACCTGGAGAGAAGTCACGTACGTACAAACTAGGGATCGCTCAGGACACGACGGTGGACGAGCTGTATACAGCAGCGATGAACGTGATGAGGCTCCACTTGGACAGCATGTTCCCCATGTCGACACTGATAATGAACGCCAAGAACTTCCACGATCTGGACTCACAAGCTGTGACCACCATCTCGAGTTTCTTCACGCGGACTGCGGAGCAAGCAACGCAGCGCATGGAGGAGGAAATCAAACAGTTTGCTGCCAAACGGGACAGGGACAGATCGCCCACGCGGAAGAGCAACAAGCAGAAGATATCAGCGTTCTTCGGGCCGTCAAGCAGCATCTGCAACGGCGATGACACAGAGGCAACGATCATCACTCCATCAGTGTCTGCAACTGCGCACTCGGACAGTGGCATCGAGGCCACTTCAACATGCACAGAAACTGCTTCGACGTCCGATCACTTTTGCGACGAGTGCAAGCGCGTCGTATCGGAGCCTCGAGCCGAGCATGCCGACTTCCACTTCGCGCTGAAGCTCAATCAGACGCAGCGCAACGAGGCGATGGCGAGTGCAGGAGCTTCGAGGAAAAAGGGGCCATTAGATGCATTCCTACGGCGATAGAGTGTTAAAAAGTATGGCTAAATGTGAAATATAGCTTTATAGAAGAAAACCACATGGAGTTTGTAAGAACTCTGTAGTAAACTTTCTGTTACTCTGTAGTAAACTTTCTGTTATAACCACATAAACAAAAGTAATTATTGTAAATATTACAACTCGAATAGAGATGACTTGACGCTGGAACGACGTATTGAAGCTTGCCATAATCCAGTAGGCGGCAATGGGGAGCGAAGAGGTGCCGCCGCTCTTCGCGATGGCTGTACGCTACCGCGCCGGGGACGACGTCAAGACGCCGTTCGGTCCTGGACGAGTGCGCGGCTGCAGCGACCGTAAGACGCACGTGGAGGTGGCGCTGACGAGTGGCGCCGTGCTGTACGCGAGGGTATGGTTCCCCATCTCGAAACTTACTCCTTTGGCTTTACAGTACGCTCAACTCTCTGATTCTCTGGTTTAGAGGGGCTGTCTGGTGCCAGAGCTGCGCATGCTGCAGTGTGGAGAGATCCCAAGACACACGAGAGTGATTGTCATGGCAGCAAAGGAGCCGCTGGAGGGCGTCGTGCTCAACTACATGTGAGAAATAACCCGTCAGACTGTAGGTTTTACTCTCACCTGACTGTTGCCACTATTTTACAGAGTGCCAGACCAGAAATACGAGGTGCGGATTGGAGACACAGAGGCTGAGGACAAGGATGCAGTTCAGGAGCACATGAAGTTGCTACCGGTACGACCGTATTGTCCACAGTAGTCTACAGGAGTGATTCTGACATAACACTACTGTTGTGTGTGTAATCTGACAGAAAGAGGAGCTTCGACTGGCCAACGAGACCCGCATCCGGACGAGTTTCGGGTTGGGAACCGTCACAGACTACAGAAACTCAAACGATTCCTATGCGGTGCAGTTGGACTGTGGCAGTATTGGCTATTTCCAAACCAAGGACGTCTCATGTGTCGACCTGAGACTCCTAGCCAAGGTCCCCAAACCTTTGTCTGCTGAGAGGATTTATGAAGAATTCCAGGGACGGATCACAAGGGACGACGCGAAGGTTTTGAGTCAAAGAGCAAAGCAGACGTATCACCTGCTTCAGGTTTTCTGCGAACAACACGCCGAGGCCATTTCATTCATCTCCACTAACGCATCTTACGGGGATCAGTACACTAGAGCGTTGGCTTCGTTGCTTGACCCCAGCTTTTCAGATGCCACGAAGCGCTTAAAGGATGCCGGTGGGAAGGAGTTAAAACGCTTGAAGGAGCTGGCAACGTCTGCGAAGTCGATGCTGGAGAGCGATCTGCTCGAAGGGAAGGACTCTGCTGCTTTCTTTGCAAAGGCAGCGAATGTCCTGAGCCAGTTGAAGAATAGCGAGGAGGTCAAGAACCTCCAGTCGAGTCTTCGTGAGAAGGCCAATGCTGAGTTATCTTCAGCACGGCAGAGACTCCTTTATCGGGGTAGCGAGTCGCAGCAGGCGACGTCGTCGCAAGAGGAGAAGAAGATCGTTCTGTCGGAGGTTTTACAGGTACTAGAGAGCAAAATGAACGCAGAAAAGCCTCGTTTGGAGGCTCTGAAGGCGTCTTTGGAGCACCAGACGTTGCAGTCAGAAGTCCTGGCGAAGATGCAGCAGCACGAGAGCGACTTGCTGAAGGCTCAGGAGACTATTGCTCGTCTTGAACAAATGGCGAGCAGGAAATTGGGCGTGAACTCGATAACCGACTTGGATCCAAGCGCGTTGGCACAAAAAGCTGAGGAATTGCTACCCAAACTGTCGTCAAATGCCGAAGTTTTGGTCCATGCATCGGAGAAATACTGGCTGCAGATGCAGCAGACAACACATGGCCAGACACTGATGAAAAAGGCCAAGGCTTTAGTGCAGTCAGTCGAAAACCCAGGCGAATTCTGCGATAATGTGACGAAGGCAATCGCTGAAGTCAAGCTGGACAAACTGGCAGAGTGGGGGAGCACCATGTCGAAGAACCGCGAGAAACGCCAGGAATTTGTGGACCGGATGAAAGATCACTGCTTGGATTTCTTGACGTCCGTGCTGCCAACCTTAAAGATTGACACCATCTCGGGTGTAGAAGACGACGTCGCGTACTCGATTTCCAACTTGGATTTGTCGAATTTCCGTGTCAAGAAGGAGCGAGTTAAAGTGCGAATGGGGACTGTAGTGGACGAGGAACTGTTCATGGTTAGAGCGACGCATCTGACGGCTCTACTCAAGGGATTTGACTGGACTTTCGAGCAGAAATATTTCCCTTATTTGCATGGCGGCGGCGTCGCGGATGCTGCGCTAAGTGGTGGAGTCATTTCTCTTGGCTTTAAAGCCGAAAAGAAAGTTGTGAACCAGGAGACGGGAGAGTTCAAGCCTGTGTTGGTGCTGAACTCGATGACGATTGAAATTCGACAAGAGCTTAAGCTCACTGTGCAAGGCAGTTGGTTTAGCGCAGTCTACAATATGCTAACGTCGCTGTTTGCTGAGCTGATTCGTGAATATCTGGCCAAGACGATGGAAACGAAGCTGCTCAAGCATATGATCAAGCTCCTTAGTACACTGAACAAGCAAATGGACGAGTATTGGCCGCTGATCTTCCAGCTACTCGACATCCGAATGGAAGATTTGCCCACTGCAAGCCCGTGGCGTGGCGCAAAGGAGGTGGAAATCCAGCCGCAAGAGCTGGAATGCACTTTTACAGAGCGGGGCTCTATTCCTTTTACGTTCACAAAGGGTGTACTGAACAAATACGTGGTCGTATCGCGCATTCTCGACGTCGACGCGTCATCTTCCAACCAGAACGAGTCGGACGACCATCATGATTTCCACTTGAAGGACGATTTAAAGCGCGTTCCCGTGGGCAGCAGCGTCTTGGCAGTCAATGGTTTATGCTGCAGTAAGTTGACAGTGGAGGAGCTGAGAGGACTACTGGAAACACTTCCTCTCCCATTCACAATGCGCTTTTCGTTACTTCCAGAAGATCCTGCCAAGAACCGACGCCAGCAGTTGAGGCCTCAGCCTGAGCTTACAACGTTTACGTTCCGTCAAGACGGTCCTTTTGGCTTACGACTGCGAGCTCGTCCTCTGGCCTCTTGTGGCGTAATAGTGGTGGGTTTCACTGCGTTAAAGGATGGTAAAAAGTGTCCAGCGGAACTCAGTGGCAAGATTCGAGTGGGACAACTCCTGACGAAGGTTAACAATGAAGATCTGCGCTTCAAGACGTTAGCAGAAGTGTTGGCTGTTCTTCGCGACTTGAAGAGTCGTCCAGTGACGATGCAGTTCGCCTCGAGTCCCGATGCCATCATAAAGCTGCGGGACTGGCCTCCTATGATCGAATTGGAGGACGCATCTTCCTTTGCGTGCGACGAAGATGACCCGCCGTCCACTGGCAGGAAATACGTGGTGTTGTCAGCGTTCGCACGTGTCCCGTCCTACGCTCAGCGGACTCATGTAGTGGAGAAAGGTGACGTACTGCTGCGAGTGAATGATATCCCGCTTACTGGTCCAGACTACGCCAATTTCGCTAATATTATGGAGACCCTGCGTGATATTGCCAACAAAAAGGAACCGATGCGAGCGGTATTTGTGAGTCGAGAGCAGTATATTGCTATACGTACAAAGCTCCAGCGACGTCTACTGGGCAGTAAAAGTGACGAAAACTCTGTCAAAAATGATGATAAAGAGGAGGAGCGAGCTGATTCTAAGAGAGACAGCGAGGATATAGATCAAGCTACTGCTATGGTTGGTGATGACGTTGTGGACATCCTGTCAGCGATTCCAACGAAGGAAATAATTTTTCCGAAGGCCCCACTGGGAATTTTGTTTGGCAACTGGAAGGACGAAGCGATTTTCATTCGAGCGTTTATCTCCAGCCCGGGACCGGCAGAGAGAACTGGTCTGCTTCGTCCCGGACACGCGATACTTCAAGTGTGCGGCCATGCCGTTCCGCGTGAGGCAACACCAGGTGTCATCGAGGAGATGATCATGAAAGTGACCATGGAGACGAAGATGCAGGGCGAGAATAAAAGCTCGGATGAGACTACTGCGACCAAAATCGAGAATGAGAAGAAACCGAAGTATACACTGACAGTGCGAGATCTTGAATTGGAGCAAGAATTGATGAAGTAGAGATAAAAAAAAATTAAAAAAAATTTGAAAGCAGGCAATCTCGACTAAGTTGCCGGGGTCACGGGACAAAAGGTGATGTTGAAGTGCTGTTGCTCTGGACAATTCTTGACGAAGGGAAGCGGAAGGAGTCCGGACACTCTGCGTACTGACACAAGAGCGAGCTGCAGGCGAAGGTTGCGTCCTCCTCTGGCGAAATCGGCTCGATCATGACTCCAACGTTGAAACCTTGTTTGCTGGTCTTCGTGGCACATGATTCGTAGCTCTCACAGCCCACAGCTCCTGGTGGGAGTGTGGTGATGTCGTACCCTATTTTGTTGTCTCCGTACGAGAACTCAACACCTGCAGCAGGAAACAACATTTTGTTAATGATTAGGAAAGCTAGCATTGAACAATTGAACAATTCCACCTACGTATAGCTTCATCGCTCGTGCCGTGTCGGTATACGGCGCTCTGGTCGATATCTTGATCACATCCAGAGGTTGGGACTCTGAATCCCCAGCATCAAGTCGGCATTTCGAATGATTGTCATACAAGTTGATCTCGAAAGCACATTGGTTTCTGAAGGTAACAGAAGCAGCGGAGGCGTTTCTGGCAGTAAGGAGGGATCCTAGGACTTGACACCAGAAAGTGAGAGCGCAGGTTCGCTTGGACATCATTTTTCACAGTTTTGCAGTGAAGAGAAAGTTGGAAAATGACAGCTTTACTGAAGAGCTTCGTGGAGAATTGAAAATAATAAAGAGGTTTGACCTACTAGCTGTGGGTGGTAAAACGAATCTGCTTCACCCACTACTACGTCGATGCCAACGATCAACTCCATCCACAGAGTCATAAGCGATATTTGTGCAGAACCTTCGATAGTATGGATGTCTATTCTGTTGTAGAATCACTAATGTTAGCTTTTTTGCAGCGCTTGCCGCAGTAACCGAGCTGTATCTCCCTGGAAATTGTCGGGAGTGGCCACTGTCCTCTTCTCTTCTTCTTTGGTTGATTCGATATTTTTCGGTATTGCTCGTCTCAGCTTCCTTTTTGCCTCAGTAGCCCACGTGGAGAGCCTCGTTAGCGCCTGGAATGATACATTCTCTTGGACACGCTGCGTCTCAGTTTTATCGTCCACATTCCTATCTTCCTCGTCGTCATCTTCCAGTGAATCCGATGTCATCGAGACTGAGGCCATAGCCGCAGTTAACAAGTCGAATGATCCTTCTTCCTTCTCTTGACCTGTCGTCGCTGAAGAACCCAATGGTAACAGCGTGTTCTTGCGCTGCTCAATGCCCATGAGGATCTTCTTATTAGACACACCGCCATAAAATTCCTCCAGAATGACACCACGTTGGTGAGCCAGCATAACCTGTACAAACTCATCCTTATCAATGACGTTGTCCTCTCCAGCCGCACGGTTGTAAAGTGCCAAAGCATCTCGCCGGTCCATGGTCGGCTCCAGTACTGACACCAGCTCACAGAATTCCTGGAAGTCCAAAGTTCCGTCTCCATTTGTATCGACAATTGCGAACATATTGTGGATGTCTTGGATCTGGTGCTCGTATAGCACGAACCAGTAATTCATGATCTTCTCCAGGACCATATCGATATCCAGGCCTCCACCGTTTGCTAAGCATTTCTGATGAATCTCATCTTTTAGCTGACTAAGGGGACCTCCAGGTTCGTTTCTTGTAAACGAAAATGCCAAGTCGATCGCCTGGCATACAAGCTCGTGCTTGACAGTCACAGACTTGGGACTGACAAAGATGCCATCTCCGAAAAAAGTCTTGAGGTTCTGAGCGATGGTGACGGCTTGTTTTCTACCTTTCTTGTACACACCAGCTGAAGTAGAACTGCGTCAGATCTGAAATATATCTGGTTCAAACAAATAATGCCTTACCATTGAAGATGATCACGACTACGAGGAGGAAGAAGTCGACACCCTGGACCGAGCAGGCATGAGACTCGGGGTCTAGTGACCCCGTAAGAAGTCCGAAGGTTCGAACCCTGGCACTTTCCTGTAGTATTAACGTTAGTAGTAGATTTTATAGTAACATTCCAAGTCAAGATCCACGTACACGGGCATTTTTGCGAATGGCTGCGTCCAAGAAAACAAGTTGACTAATCGCAAGGTCCTTGAGTCCGTAGTGAAGGACGTACATTTCCATGATAAACTGTGCGAGGTTGTTTCGGGGTTTACCAGAGGAGTCGTCCTGCACGTCCTGGAACATTTTGGCTTGGTAGTATCCAATGATGATGCTGTGGAGTTCATTTAAAGTAAGAGGCTTACGCTTCAACAGGATCTTGCGCACTTTGGACGGCGCAATCTTCGCTTGATCGATGATATTGGCGATGCCGTAGCCGAATTTGTTTTTGGCACGGTTCTTCAGAATGAGGTCGTCATCACTGTCGGCCGCACTAAAGTGTCGCTTTCGTTTGCCTCCACTCTCGTTGTGCCGTTGGAGCTCCTCGAAATCTTCATCCGTTTGGAAGGATTTGTCATCAGTTGAGTTTTGAGCGTTTGCTATCTGGTCTCTCAATTCCTGAAGCTGCTGTTCGCACTTCCTCGCGCGTTCCTCGGCCTCATTCATTAAGGAATTATTCTTCAATCGCAGCTCGTTTGCGAGTTTTTCGGCCTCTTCAAGTCTCTGCTCCAAACTCGTCGTTTTTGCCTTCTCACGCTCCAACTCATCGACCACGTCCCCGACAATTTCTAGCACTTTGCGGTCGTGTTCACACAAACAGTCATCGACTTCGGCGCTCGAATTCTCCTTACGGGATTCCCCACTGTTTGGGTTCTTGATGACGTCCAACATGAGCGCTTGGAAACGAGTGATCCGAGCTGCCGATCGTTCAATAATCATGTTTTGCTGTGCATTGGACTTGACAAGAACCTGCTCTTCGATTTGTCTGAACGTAGAGCGTTGTTAGATATAATAGACTCGAGACGAGTAGAGAACTATTATACGCACTGTGTGATTCCCTTCATCTTGTCTTGGAGTAGGTTGCTCATGAGCTTGTCTTTCTCAACTGGGTCCATCTGATCTGCTATTGCTACGACTGCAGTGGCCGATACTTGAGCTTGCAGTGCTTCAACTGCTCCGAGCACGATCTTCTCCTTCTCTTGGTCATTTACGTATTGAAAGTTTAGAAGCACGTTTTGCAGCTTGCCGTTCAAGTCTTTCGCATGAGTTTTCTTTGTAGTGATAGCGTCCAGCTTATTCACTTGAAGCTGTTGATGTAGTTGCTTTAGCTGTTCATTTCGAGCTCGCTCTTCGTCTAGACGCTGCTGGTGTAAGGCTTGCTGTCTCAACATCTCTACAAGAACACGGCTTGATCAGATTTCTTACAATTATTGCGCTACAATTGATATGTTTTACCTTGCTGGAGATCCTGCTTTTGCTGATAGAAAATCGTGTGTTGCTCGTAAAACGTGGTGAGTCGTGTAAAGAACTCCAGCGCGTCTATCTCTCCGTTGCGAACCAATGAAGGATCATTATTCATGTAAATCGCTGCCCCCAAGCCGCTGCGCAGTCACAACATGTTACTGGATAAACATTTACTTCAACAAGTGGAGAAAACAAGGAGAACGTACTCGCAAATGCGAAGAAGAATATCTTCGTGTCTTGCAAACACACTGGTGGCTTTACACAGACAGTGGAATGCAATGGCTGTTTGTAGGCGGTTTGGAACAGGTTTACCCTGTGTCAGCACGCGGCTCTCTCGGAAGAGCATATCGCAGTAGAGCGCGTACGACGAGAAGCTCGCAGCTTCGTGCGAGAGCGACTGTAGCCACTTGGTGATCTTGTGCACATCTGACTGACCTAGAATCGCTCGTCTGGGCGATCGGATGCGTGCAATTCCAGCCGATGGTGACATCAAGGACGCAAACGACACAACCGAGTCGGTGGGCAGCTCTCCAACAGGAGACGGAGCTCTTGGGACGACATTCAACGGACTCATTGCACTCACGCGTGGAGATGCAGTTCGCTTCCTTTTGGTGAATGGACTCGAGTGACGGAAGAGTGAGGGGCTCTGAGGTGCCGATGGGGCGGTAAACGCCGCAGCGCGTGGACTACCACAGTGTTTCCTAGGTGTTAGAGACGACATCGGAACTCCGAGAAGGTCTGCTACCCGCAGTACGGACTGGTTGTGGACGACCCGGTCAGAGTCTTCGTCTTCATTGTGGAGATTGTCGGCGTCCACATAGCGAGGAAAAAGGAGTGGTCCCGAGTCGGAGAACTGGACTAGTCGAGGTGGGGGCATCGTCGTGAAAACAGCAAGTGTCCATGTTTGTGTATTTTTGTCTCGCCGAATCCTTAAGCAGTATTTCACTTCAACGACCATCACTCCGTAGATCGACCAGTACTTGAAAACGATGTTGTATATCTCACTTACTTTTGTTGGTATCCGTGGTACTGCCACCCGCTGTAGCTGATTTATTCGTGCGCTTGATCTTGTGCCGCTGAATAAGGCGCAGATTTGTGAGCGATGCAGTGAAGCCAGCTCCCAACAGTGAAACGCTTTTGTTTACTTCAATAACCATCATTTTGTTCAGGAATATCCTACTTGAAAGCACGGACAGCACATATAAGTGTTAGTCCTACCACGTACGCTAAGGTGAGGTTAAAAGGTGGCAATTAAAACATGGCTAGCGCTACTGGTGGTTTGAAAATCATTGCAAAAGAATTGTTTGCCATCAATAATTTAATTTGCATATTATTGCAATTATTTGTAATTAAGCTAAATGAAATCCTCCAAAATAATTTTGCACATGAAGAATTTTTAATTTGCCCATCAATAAAATAGGTATCCTCCATCACTGCAGACACGTTTGTCTTGTTATCTATTCAGCATCAATAACACTAGAGGATAAAGTATGCCGCTGACCCAACCAATTCGTTGTCGATGGTACTTTCCACCCAGAATGTATCGGACAAGCTATCCAACTTCATTCAGTAGCTCATATGGTTCTGATTCGCAGAGAAACGAAGACCAGATTAGCGTCTTCCTGATGTGGTGTGCAGTGCAATCGATTCTCCATGGGCCAGATAGGACGGCTCAAACTCTCCCGGCAAGGAATACCAGTTCGTCGCCCTCTCGACGAGAGCCACGACCACGTTCACTGACAAGGAGAAGATTGAGGTCGAGCTTGCTGCTAAGATTCTAGAACTAGGCGACGCAGCGTTCAAGAGCCACGTCAAGACGGTTATGCTACCTTCATCACTCGTGCAGCAAGTTACTGATGCAGTGGAAAGGAAAGCACTCATAAAAAATCCTGGAGGCATGCCACACGATTAAACTGGAGAATTATGGCGGCAACACCACAATGAACGAAGTCGACGGGAAACGCGTCGTATACGTCGGTGAGTTCGACGATCACTACTACTGGATGGCCGAACGCATTGACATTTAGAAAAGACGTAGCTCCGAGACGGTATTTGCTCTCAAAGGCAGGGACGTTGGCGGTGAAGGTCGTAAGAAGCGTACAAGAGTGTCGACAACACTGAGCAAGTGTTTATCTTCGATAAACACTTTACTATTGATACTAGAGTTATTAAAGTTGGCTGAACGCTGCACGACGAAACTCGTCCATCCAAAGTGACCATCTCCGACTCGAACTACATATGCGCAAATAACGCCAAAGGTTCCTCTCAAGTACTGGATTCGTCGGTTCCAGAGCCGTGGAAATGAAGCCTCCAGCTGCACTCAAGACGTTCAAGTTGGAAGTCACGACTAAGAAAGGTGTGGAGCTACAGGAGCTTGTTTGGGCTGACGGAAAGGTAGAAAGAGTCCCATTCATCTAATCACTCTGAGCGAGTTTGTCCAATACAAAGCCAAGACGCTCTTCGGAAAACTGGCTCGGAATGATCCTACATCGTTTCAAAACCGAGCGGCTATCAGCCTCATTGTGGCCGGTGTAGCCGGTGCTGTTACCACGGTCGCTCACCGTTACATGAACGTTGACGCCGTCCAAGATCTCAAGGTACACGTACGTGCTACCAAGGTTATGATGTGCACCATTAGCGATCGCCTCAGTATTAAGAATGATGTTAAACTCAGTAAGGTGCAGAGCTAATTGGTGAGTATGGCAAGCAAGGGTCTAGTAACAGCAATGGTATGTCTAGGAGACGTGGTCAAGAGCTGACGACTGTGCTATCCATCACCATCCAGCAGCAAATTAGGCAGCAACCAGCAACTACGTTCAACCATGACTCCACTTTCATTCCTATCCCGATACCAACCAACAGTCTTACTTTTTTCCAACGTTTTGGCTTTGGATTGCTGCTAACGCTCGATGAGCAATTCTTACAGGATTATCTAACGACATATGAGCAAAACGTGTAGTCCAACCTGACGCTAAGACACATATCTTACCTCAGCAAATGCACCTTAAGTATAGCCTGCCATAAATCAAATGCACCTTAAGTATATGAGGAAAATGATGAAATAAGGTGCGTCATTAATTTAATTGTTATCATAAGGTTTGCATTGAATGATTTGTGTTTCTTATTTTAAAAGCAATTTAAATTGCTCAAAAGTGAGATAATGAGCAATAGTTCTAAAAAGGAAATGAGGAAATACATTCTGGGAAATAAATATCAAAAGTGTTTTTATTCAATAGAAAAGATTTAACATTTAAAAAAAACGGTATACCAATAAAAATCAATTATTTGGACTCTTTTTTCTCTTCGCAATAATTTATTCCTCCCAAATTACACTTCCCGCGTCCTGGTCAGCCATTCCTCCGTGTCTGCTCTCGCTGGGTGAGCCATTTCTCGGCGCCTGCCGTTGAAGCTGCTGCACCCTGAATCCCACGTACAGAGCCGTAATCATTGCGCCTTTCGGTGTGTGTAAACCTCTGAATAGCTTCATCAGCGATGATTCATCACTCGATCGGTGCGGCAGTAGCAATAGCTACCAGCACCAGTCAAGCGAAGATCTTGTCATCCAGCGGTCACCTCTAAAGCTTCCAAGATCTACGAATTCCCCCTCGCTGTTCAGATGTCCCGGTTTACCCAACCAGTTGGTGCATTTTGATCACTGGTCCACTGTGACCGCACAAATTGCAGGCAGTGCAGGCTGAAGCAGGCCCGACTAACGGAGCTTAACGGCACCGAAAATCTCTACGATCCCCGCAGACGCGCTCTCCATCGAGGCAGACACAGCATCACTTCATTTCGGTTATTGCCTTGCCATTTGCCTCGTGATCCCCCAGTGCCACACTTGGATACATCTGATCCGTCTCAAACACGCAGCTCTATCTCGCTAGGAATGAATCCCTTCAAGACCTATGCGACCTCTTTCCTTCACCCTCCACAACGTAAACTCATTCACGAATCTGCTGGCCACCACACAAGCTCTCGACTGTCATGCGTGTCTTGATCTTCGCGGCGCTGCTTGCTATGGGCACGACCCAGGCCGCCAGCAGCTCCACGTCTTTATCAGGCGTGTCGTCCGCCTCCAGCTACGTACCATGGAGTCTCGCCGATAACAAGACCAGTCTGGCCATCATCGAGTCGCAGCTCACCATGTGCACTTACTCCAAAGTGGAGGAATGCATCCAGGACCCCAAACTCGTCTTGGAACTAGGCTCACTCTACCGCGCACCAGGCTACTGCATCGCCATGGACTCTGCCTACGTCAACATCACCACCACCAGCGCCGCCATCCCCAACCGCTACTACCCGACGTCTGTCGAGGAAGCGTATGACGCTGGCTTCTCCAACAAATTCTCAGAGTGGTCGGACACTAATCGAGAACAGTTCGAAGTGGACTGCCCTTTGCTCTACAACGAGACCATCGCTCTGGGCGAAGACATGCTCTGCTGTACTGAGTCTCAGTATACAGGTCTGTCCACTCAGGTCCGCATGATTCCCGGTCTCTGCTCGGCCTGTAAGGAGAATCTACGCAACATTTTCTGCCAGTTCACATGTAACCCCAACAACAGTATGTTCCTGGACATTAACGAGGTCCGTATTATGTCGGGCGATGACGAACACGAAGGCCAGATCTTCCCTGCCGTCGAGGAAGCCACATATTACGTAGGGAAGGACTGGATCCGAGATATCTACGACTTTTGCGAGGACGACAGCTCCTTCTCTTTACTGTGTAACCCGAATCAAGACTGTACCGACGGCTACGGCCTCATGGAGTACATGGGCAAGTACGCCTTCAATAGTATCGGATCTCCAGAGCAGATCAACGTGACGACTATGGATAAATTCTCAGAGGAGATTCAGACGACCGAGTTCTGCCACTGCCACTATGCCAACGAGACCAACTGCATATCGCCTATGAACAACAAAATGACGTCCTGTGTTGGCGTTTGTGGTTCGTTGTGTGCCGTTAGCTCCGACGACACTCGAACGTACACTGAAGCGTGTTACGGCGCCGAATCAGCTTCGTCTTCAGGTAGTAGCAGCGCTACAGGCAGTGGCAGTGACTCCACCTGGGCTGAACTAAACGAATACTTGGCTACCAACATTCCGGAAACAGACTGGGCCCCTCTCAACTACTTTTTGGTGATCTTTGGTGGAATCACTGGCGTTCTGATAATTGTGGGCTTTATCGTCGCTACTCTTCGTGAAAGGAGGTACAACGCAGTCGACCGTCGCTCTGGAACACCTCAAGTCATTGGACCGGACACTCCGGATTTCCATGGAGTGGCTAGTGCGATGGCTGGAAGTACCGGGTACTTGAGTTTTCTCGATGATTTGATGACCAAGAAGTTGCGGCTTTGGGCTGCGTTCGTATCCAAGGACAGCCGACCCAAGAAGATTATCCCCATGGTACTGGTTGTCGTTGTAGTGTGTGCTGTTGGTCTGTACAATATTGACATTGAAACGGATCCGATCAAGCTGTGGGTGTCCACATCCAGTACGTCTTACGAGGAGCGCCAGCACTATGGAGACATCTTTAACCCCTTTTACCGTTCCGAGCAGATTATTCTGGTACCAAAAGACGGAGGTAACATCTACCGCTCTTCGATTCTGAAGGAGGCTATACGTGTGCAGAATGTGGCAGCTAATGTGACGTATACTTCGGATGATGGAGAGACCACGGTGGCTCTGGACGACATTTGCTGGAAAGCTACTGGTACTGGTTGCACTGTCAACTCTATTACTCAGTATTTTCAGAACAACATGGAGCACTTTGAGTTCTACGAGAAATATGGCCTCGAACTGGAGCATTTCAGTAATTGTCTGTACTCCCCAACGACGTCGGATGTGGCACTTTGTACAGAGTTGAAGAACGCGTTGGATGATGGTGACTCACTCCCTTCAAGTATGAGTGATTGTCCATGCTTATCAGCGTTCGGATCGCCCATGAATCTGTACAACACATACCTTGGTGGATTCCCTGACGGCGCTGAGAGCAACTACACGCTCTTCCTGGACTCGATTGCTTTTGTTTCTTCGTATCTGAACTACAACTACGCTGACGATGACAAGAACGAGCCTGCGATCAAGTGGGAGCGTGAGTACATCAAGACGATGAAGAAGGAGGCCGAGTCCAACTCGGTGTTTAACGTCTACTTCTACGCCGAGATCTCCGTTCAAGACGAGGTGGATGCTGAATCCAGCAACGGTATGGGTCCTGTGGCGTTGAGTTATTGTCTGATGCTGATATACATTTCTCTGGGTATCAATCGCTTCAAGTTCGGCCGTGAATTCTTCATCTCGTCCAAGATTGTGGCTGGTTTCTGTGGTGTCATCAGCATCGCGTGTGGTGTGGCGTCCACTGTCGGCCTGTACATGTGGTTCGGAGTCAAACTTCAGTTAATTATTATGGAGGTCGTCCCTTTCCTGTCGTTGGCGATCGGTGTCGACAACATTTTCCTTCTCATTCACGCTATGACCGAGAAGGAGGACCAGATGCGTCGTGAACAGCCGAGTCTCTTTGTTGGTCTTGAGCATAACCCGAAGGCGATTGAGGAGATCACCACGACGATCGTGTCGGAGAGTCTGGCGTACATTGGTCCCAGTATCTTCATGGCATCTGCGGCTGAATCGGTGGCCTTTGCCTTCGGTTCCATCTCTGCGATGCCTGTGGTGCTGTGGTTCGCAGCTATGGCCTGTTGCGCTGTGGCGATCAACTTCTGCTTCCAGATGACCTTCTTCCTCTCCGTTCTCACTCTGGACAAGCGTCGTGAATTGAGTGGCAAGTACGATATCATCTTCAAGCGTGTCTCATCCGTGACAGCACAGGCGCCTGTTGCAGGTCCTGATACCTCACAGCAGTCGTCCGAGCCGCTTGTGTCGCTGCAGCCCAAGACTCCAGAAGCAGACGATGTTCGGCCGTCTGTCACGCCAAAGAAGCACTCGCTTACTCAAGTTCTGGACTATTGTGTGGACGTCTACGCGTCGATTTTGACCCACAAGCTTGTCAAGATGATCGTGCTATTGGCGTTCCTAGCTTGGACTTTGTGGTCGATCTACTCGATGGAATCACTGGACCAGGGACTTCCGCAGAAGGAGGCGATGCCGTCCAACTCGTACATGATTGAGTACTTTAACGCACTGGACGTGTACTTAGCGACTGGATCGCCGGTGTATTTCATTGTAGAAACTGGTTATGGTCGGAATCCGACGTCATGGTCGTTAAATGATGAAAATGTGGAGACGATCTTCTGCAAGTCGAAGGATATCTGCGGCACTTACTCGATCCCCAATATCATGAACGCACTGGCCAACCACGGCGACGAGACTGTGACTCACATTAGTCCTGGGACGACGTACTCGTGGATGGATGATTTCTGGGGCTTTGTGAACCCTGACAGTGAGTGCTGTCGTGTAGATTCAGAGGGTGCGTATGTTCCGATCGAGACTGGCAACGACACGTACACGACTCTGAGATCAAGTGACGACACGTGTCTCGTTTCGTCTGAGACTGTTCCCCCTGTGCCAGAAGACGAGTACATGTCGCTCTTCAGTATGTTCGCGACGGCCAGTGCTGGTACATCGTGCTCGTATGGTGGTGGCTCCATCTACCGTGGCCAGTTTAGTATTGACACTGATCCTATTCCGACCGTCACGTCTTCGACGCCAGCAGTGAAGCTCAACAGCAGCGGCTATGGTGACGAGGTCACGGCTTGGTCGTACATGGTAACGGGTACATCCAACCCGACCCAGCAGCGCTACATCGACTCATACAAACAGAACCTTGCGGCGGCCGAATGGATCAGCGAAAAGACTGGCGTGGATGTCTGGGTATACAACTTGACATACGTATACTTCGAGCAATACCTGACCATCATCCACGATGCGTACGAGCTCATCGGTCTGTCCCTTGCGGCTATCTTCGTGATCACGACGCTATATCTAGGCAACGTGTTTTACTCGCTGGTGATTGCGTTGACAGCGACGAATATTGTGGTGCTGGTGCTGGGTCTGATGCAGCCATTGGATATTATGCTCAACGGTCTGTCGATTGTGAACTTGATTATTGCGGCTGGTATTGCAGTGGAGTTCTGTGGTCATTACGTTCGATTCTTTGCCAAGGCAAATGGGACGGGAGACGAGCGTGCTCGTGATGCCCTTCGTCAAGTACTGACGTCTGTATTGTTCGGTATCACCATCACCAAGGTCATTGGTCTCAGTGTGTTGACACTTGCCGACTCGCGTGTGTTCAAGAAGTATTACTTCCGCATGTACATGATGGTGGTGGTGTGTGGTGTGCTCAACGGCATGATGCTGCTGCCTGTGCTGCTCAGCACGATCATTGACGTCAAGGATTTCTTCACACGCAAGCGGTCAAGGAAGAGCGAGCTCCCGTCGGCGCCTGTTACTCGTGTTGAGTAACTAAGTTGCATGTAGCCCTGAATGTTGAGGACAATTGAATATGAACTAAGCAAAATATACTGCAGTAATTTTCGATGAGCAAAAAATGCGCTTTGTTGCAACTTCAACCAGAATGACCATCACTCTATGATCGTGTTGCACTGCAGCTTCAACAACTACGACCCATCACTCTGTGTTATACTCATGTGGCAACTACAGGCTTCTCCTCCTCCTTGGCTCCGTTCGCAGTCTCCTCAACGACTCCTCGGCCGATGGGCTCTGGCGCTGTATCCGTCGCCTCTGCCTGTTGCAGCACCACGATGGTGAACCTCAAATGCTGAGCGATAATCATCTCGTGCATCTTTGTGCGCAGCCTCAACCACTCGATCTCGCTCTCGTTCGGGTCTGGGAAGAGCTTGTGCAGATGCTTCTTGGTGCGACCGTAGAGACTGAGCACGTGGTAGGCGTGCATGATGGCCTCCTTGTACTCCAGATTCTCGTACTTGACCACAATACCGTCATTATTCATGAGAATATACGACGTAAAGCCAGGCTTGCTCTTGAGCTGCTTGATCACTTCCTCCACCTCGTTCGGAGCCGCCGCTGCCATATCTTCTGCTGCGTCTTGTCAAACTTTGCAAAATGGCTCGAACCGACGCAAAAACGTTCGCTTTAACTGCCAGTTCTTCGACCATAATGGCACAAGGCTCTGGTTCCTACTATGATGACTATATGCGCAGCAATGCCATGCTCAAGCACTGCAACGAGAAGAGCACCAAGAAGCTATTGACGGATCGCAACGCTTACATCTCGTTCCTGGAGGTGCAACTGGAACGCGTATCGGCCGCTTGTTTAACCACACAGACGTTCGAGAAGCGCCTGGCAGAGCTGGAGAGTGCGCAGATGGCCAACGACCAGAAGCTCGGGTCGCTTTCTAAGGTTTTTAGACTCAATCAGGAGTACGTAGAGCAGATATCACAACAGGCACAAAGTGAACTCGCAGGACACGCAGCCAAAGTGGACGCCTGGATGGAGAAATTCTCGGTCGAGTTGGAGCGACAACAACCGCGTATGGCCACGCTGGAAGAACAATTCCGACAATGCCAAGAGTATTTGCCACGACTGGTGGAAACTAATGATGCAGCACTCGATGGTGTTAGGCACCAGGTCCAGCAAGAGATCGAGGAGTTAAAGGCACAAGTGTTTGCACTTGAGACTCGAATCGAAGACATTCACTCGAGTCAAGCAGCGACAGAGCGAAAGGTGGAAAATCTGGCAACACACAAACTCGATAAGGTGCGTGGACAGCGACTGCTATAATGACAAAGAGGGTAGCGCTTAGCGTTGCGAATACAGGAGTTGGCACTTGTACGGTCGTCTGTGTCGGAGAAGAGCTTTCAACTGGAGAGAACGGTGGCTCAACTGGTGAGAATCCTTGTTTCTTAATGTGAAGGGAATACTGCTGACGACTTTTATTCTCTTAGAGCAAGGATTTGGAGCAGTTAGTGCACCAAATTGACGCGTCTTGGCGAGCTGAAGCGTCGGAGACAGCAGATCGATATGAAGCGTGTACTGGTGAGCTACAGCAACGACTCAATCAACTTCAACAGGATCTCGAACGCGGACACTCAGAAGTCAAGGACGTGCTGAAGAAATGCCTTGACACTCAGCACCTTCTAAGTGGAACTGTGGTGGCACTTCAGTCCGAAGTTGATGGAGTGAAGGAAGCTGCTGCCTCCCACAAGAACAATGAGATCATGTCGACTGCGATGGAAGACCTACGAGAGAAGCAGATCACGCTGAAGAATGCGTTGCAACTCTTGCAGGCTTGTGCTCTTGAAGCTCAACAGGCAAACGAAGATCGATGTAGCAAGTTAGCTGACAGAGTGGCCGCTGCTGAAGATTCATTTGAGACTCGGACCGACGATTTGGTTTGTTTTCAACACCTCCAGTTCCCATTGTATTCGTATATCATCCTTTCTTCTGTTTGTGCACTGTGATTATCTCTAGCGGAGGCGAATGCTCGCTGCACTGGAAGATGTTGGAGACAAACTTCATCAAGATGCAGATGCTACCACAGAAAACACGGTAGGATCTGCATTGTTTTAATGTAATGAAGTCTACTCAATAGTAGGTTTTGACAGCTTCTGGCAGCACGGAAGGAGACTGAGTCTCAAATCGGACACGTAATGGAATTTTCGACCACACTAGAGAACCGTCTACGCATTTTGGAGTACACTGTTTTGTCACTAGAGGTATTTGATGGGAGTTCTACCACAAAAGATACGGCTAGTCTACTAATCAACTGTTGTGGATTCTTTCGTTCTTATGTAGACGAAAGTGCAGCGAAGTCGAGCAATCTCAGAAGAGTTAGGTCAGGTCGGAGGCTCCCCACCCGAGATTGCCGTCAACTCCAGGAAACAGCTATCAGATCTTGATGTGATTAGCCCAGGACATAAGATGCAAGAGGTACGACACATTTCATGACGCTATTCACAGAGTATAAATGCTAACAACTTGCTCTAATGATGCTTGGTGATTGCCAGCGATCATTTGACGAGCATTTCTACCAACAAAGAATCCGAGAGCTCGAAGAACGGCTGCACCGAAAAGCTCAAATTGAAGAAGAGCAACGTCTTCTGTTTCCTGAGCGTGAATACTCATCCAAATCCTCCATTGCGTCTTCCGGATACATTTCCAGCTTTGCAACGGACGATCTGCCACGACGGACTCACTCTATGCTGAAAAAGGTGCATGTATAATGGAACGAATAACCTCAAAACAAGTCCCTAACGTATGCTGTTCACGACTAGAAAACTATCAAACGGAGTTCGAAGACGGCACAACCAACCTCAGCATCGAAAACACTCAAGCCTCATAGACTTCAGACAGCTCGTCAGAAATAATTAAAACCATTTGTTCGCTCGCAACTCGTTTGAGAACGAGGAGTAACTACCCACTAATTATTATTAAGACATGAGCGCATTTCCTTCTTCGATCGTCTTGAGTAAATAGTCTGCTGCTGGCACCCCAACCGCGATTTTGTATTCCTGTAGGAAACAACAGTTCACACTACTTAGTCGAAAATCTATGAGTAGTAGCGTGCATGTACCTCCAAGATGCGCATGATCCGATCTGCTGACTCGTATCGGGCCTTGATGATCGACGCTATGTGTCGTCGAGACTGCCGCGATCCCGGTCCGTTGGGTCCACTAAACTCCAAGAACTCTACGCAACAAAACAATTGTAGGTCAGGCCTGCGTCAAGGTAACGGTAATTTATGCCAAGTACTTCGAAGTACCAATTTCCCTGTGCGTCTCCTTTGTGATCTCGTCCTGAAGAATGTGCAGCAGATGCTCAATCTTCCTGCGGTGACGATCGATACGAGCAGTTTCTGTAGCAACAGCATCTTTGCTGCTTTGTTCTTTATTGATTCTAAAGCTTAACATTGCAAAACCAAGCGTTAATCCAGCGGATAGAATACCTAGCTTGAAATCCACGAGCTCATTTACCTGCTACCACGGCTTTGCTTCCGTCGATCGAAAGTGTAGAACTGCTTGTCGATCACGGCACAATGACGCTCTCGCGCCAATGCAGACTACAAGTAAAGCCAAGAGCAGAGTGAGAGATCATCTACATCAATTAACAAAGTCTCAGCATAGTAGAGAACGAACCGCAGCTAGCGCCACCTCCTTGTCAGCCTCCATCTCACGTTCGCGGACGAAAAACTCTCGGTCTTCGGCAGCAACTGCCGGCGAGTAATAACGTGGTCCGTTTTGCCCAACAAAGTGGATCGTGTTATCTGCCGGCGAATCCATCGCTCGCATGCTCTTCATGAAGTTGCTCATGTCGCTCTTGATGCTGTGTACCAATGTATAGAGCACCTCCAGCAGGGACGTAGCAGCTCTATCTCGAGGTGGTGCCTGCACTTCTAACGACGCAGAGCTAGGAGACTGCACTAGTCTTGGCAATACCACAGAGCTCGAGTCTTTTCGTGAGCTTCCAGCTGAAGGAAGACGCCCCGCTTGGCCCCAGAAAATCCCGATGGAGCTCCCCGACGATGTCATTACTGATATCACCCCACTAAATCGCTCATTTGTCCTCTATTTATACAGCTTTGTGATCTTAAAGAGGCTAATCCTGCCTTGTTGATCGATGCGTTCGTAGTGCAACATCGTAGCACTAAAAGCCAAAAAGTCCGTCATCGCTTCGTCCTCCCCTCTGGCCTCGTGGGCTAAGTAGGTGACTGTCTCCTGGTTGCTAAATCTATAGATACTACGCGCCAGATTCCTCCAGCTCTCTTGACCGTAGATGGGGTTGATGCAGTCCGACACAAGGATGTAGTGGTAGCTACTGCGGGGTGGCGTCCAGTCGGATCCCCATACAAACTCGGCCACCTGTAGACGCGCTCGTTCGCTGTCGGACGCCGCGTTAGTCTCGACGTTGCGCTGCAGCAACTCAAGCGCCTCGTGTTGGTCTGTGAGCAGTACGTCAGCACCCAGTGAGGCGGCCATAAGCCCCGCAAGACCACAGCCACTGCCCAATTCTAGTACTGACTGTCCGTCCTTAACGTTGAAAGTTGCTGGCGATTCGGAGGCGAAGCGTACGAGACGCTCAGCCAGGAAGCGGCTGGCCTCCCACACACGTGACGCTGTCCAGGCATCCTCGAAGATCGGAGCCAGCTCGGCGCTGCGTAGCGTCTCGGACAGCGAGTAGCTGCGTCCACCGACGGTCACTTGTTGCGCCATTGCTGCTTGGTGGTCATGAATGGACCGTTTCTTGTACTTGCAGTTTGTATGGTCACTATTTCCTTCGATAGAATGACATATCGTCACATTGTCGTAGCAAGTGCAACGTTGTATGAAGTCGCACCCGTTCGACCGAACTGCAGAGATGTATCCATACACCTGTAGCTGCTCGAAACGGAGGGCGGAACTGGCGCCAAAACCTGTAAGCGAAATGGAAGAAAGATCGTTTGGTAGTGACGGCAATGGGCTTTGCGTGTCTGTGTCTCTCGAGTGGCGGCTGGTGCCAACAGGTTGTCGATGTTTCAGGTGCAAGCTGAGACTGTTGCATGATCTTCTTGCCTCGATTAATCACTTGAAAGTAGGTTGCCCGCTGCTCACCTTGGCCAGCTCTGGCAGCTACTGTATTGTTCGCGGTGTAGAGAGAGCGAGAGCTGGTGGAGCAGCCGCGAATACCTGCTGGTCAACCTTGACAGGCTTGCGCCTTCTGTTAGTAACCCCAACCGTAGAGGTAGAGCGAACTTGTTGTGAAAATGCTGGCACTTGCATCGCTTGCAGTATTCCTCGTACAGTGGCGTTTGCCTCACTTCGATTGAAGCAACAAGACCGTCACTGTAGACAAGTTCTTTTTTCCTGTGAAAATATACACATGTACAATGTAGCACTGCACGCTGAATACGTCGAGCCCGATCTCAGCGAATCTGAATACACTCCCACTTCGACATACAGTCGCCAGTAAGTCTGTACCCCTCTCGGCGTCCGCACTCGCCACAAAACCCTCTGTCGCCTGTTTCGTTGGCACACACGCAGGTCAAGCAAACTTGGCTCAAACTCGCACTCCACGCACTTCAGATTTGCACAGTACATGTCAAAATGTCTATGGATAGTCGTCTTCTCGCTATTTTCCCCTTAGAATTTCTTCTTTCTTTTTTGAATTTCTCTCGCGAAATGGCTTGATAATAACCAACCACGATCGAGCAACGGCCTTTCACTTGGAAATTGTATGAAGAGACCCGGCTCTATCACTCGAGTGATCTGATGCCCTAGCCGCAGCATGAGGTCGTACTAGCCTGCTCTCTCTCGGTCAGAGTTCACAGTCGTCTGGCCCAGGGCAGTACGCAGCGGCATGCCGCGCCCCGAGTACGCGCCCTTCATCACATCGCCCCGAGGCGCGTCCGTGCCCATGCAGCATGGAGGTCCTTCCGTCTCAGGTTCGGCCCCTTCCGCTGTCTCGGCGCTCACGGCTGCCGCGTCCGAAACCTTCAGCGCCGCTCTCAGCGTCGCCAAACTCAATCTGCATCGACGTCGACGTCAGACGCTCACAGACTCGAACGCGCCCACTAGTCACAGCCGCGGCAATGGACGACGTACTCCGTACTTGGACCGAGACGATGACGAAGAGGATGACCCTTTTGAACCCCCACAACAGCAGCAACAGGAGAGATACCGCAGTCAGCATCGACCCAGGAAACCTACGCGCTCCCCTTCATCGTCGAGATCGCCGGCTCCGTCGCCGTCGCGAGGATCGTCGTCTTCCACGCGGTCGGGGGGCTTTGCGTCCATGAACTCACTGTCTCTGCGCTCGCCGTCTGCGCGTTCGTCGTCGGCCACGTCGCCCTCGAGTCTTCGCGACGAGAGCATGTCGTCATTGGTGAGTGATATGGCGCAGAATCTGCCTGAACTCTCGACCGAACGCATCGAAGCGCTCGTCAACTTCATCGACAGGTCCGTAGACGACGCCTACAATCTCAGTCTGGGCTTCGGACGCGTGCGTTGGACGCCCAGCAGAGCGAGAGAGGGCGTGACGATACATCGAGCGAGGAGCGGACCGGACAACACGCTGCTGGATGCCGCTGTGAGGGGTAAATGCAACGTCAGCGCCACGTTCCGAGAGATCAGCGACCTGCTCATCACGGAGACCAGCGCCGACTTTGCAGACCACGAGAGCGCAGTAAACCCCAGCGAATTCCTGGACGGACAAGTGCTGTACACTCTGGTGCCGCGCACGCCTGAAGAGCGCTTTGTGTGTGTCAAGTGGCACTGTGTGCGGTCTCTAGCTCCTTCTGTTGCCAAGCATAGAGACTACGTCTACGTGGAGCTTGTGGATTCGTTCGAGGACGGCGACGGTCGTCGTGTCGGCTACAGACTGTGCAAAAGTGTAGAGCTGGACGTGCTCCCTCCTCGTGATACTAAACACCTTTTTGTACGTGCCAAGACGCTGACACTGCAGACGTGGAGTGAGCGCGCGCCTGGGAGCCTCGAGTTTGTGACGATGGTGATCAACGACTTGGGAGATCGACTGCCCTCGTGGCTGGTGCACAAAATGGTGGACACTGCAGCCATGCGCTCCGCCTGTATACGAGACCACATCAACCAGCGTCGTCTGGACATGCTCGTGTACGCTGGGCCTAGAGATATGGTGCCGCTCAGTCGTCGCGTGTGCTGTGTGGTGTGTACGCGCAGCTTCTCGCTCGTACGGAAGAAGTACAATTGTGCAGCCTGTGGCGACGTCATCTGCAGCCAGTGCAGCGTACAGGAACTCGTGACGGCTCATCAACGACTCAGTGATCTATCAGCGCCCGGAGGCAAGCGCAAGACCCGAATTTGCGTCAAATGCAGCAGTAAAATGCAGAGTCGAGAGCTGCCGCGTCGTGCGTCGTCTGCGCGACAGAGCGACAGCTCTCGAGTCAGCTCGGACGGTAGTCTACGCAGCTCTCTGGCGTCTAACAGCTCCTTCTTGGCGCGCTCGCACGCGTCGGCTGGAAAAACGTCGGACGAGACTCGACGCAGTTTTCTCTCGGACTCTACGGCCGGTACAAGCTCCCAAGACTCGGTGGAAGAAGGCAACAGAGGGAGTGGCAATGGATCCTCCGGCATTCGCAAGCAAGTGCCCAACATGTTCCAGTTCCGACCAACTTCGTCGTCTATGGGCAAGAACGACCGACTGTCCAAGGCTTCTACGTCGCCGTCGTCGCCTGGAGACGAAGAGGACAGATTAGACGTGGAGGAACTGCAGCCGCAACTGTTAGGTGATAGCATTCTCGCGCCTGCACCTGTGGAACTTGATCTAGGCATTGGCAAGTACAAGGAGACGTTTACACAGCAGCCGACAAGAACCGAGAGAGACTACGAAGCTGAGGCAGCGGAACTGGCTGAGTTTAGTGACGAGGAACAAGAGTATTCCGAAGACGACGCTGGCAACTTCCTCAACACTGAAGGCCACAGACACGACGCGGTACGGCAGTCGTTATCGCAGGCTACAGTCATGACGCTGGATGTGGACGGCCCGACGGTGTACAAGGTGGAAGTGGCGAGTTTCCTGACTGAAGAAGAGAATGCCAGCTTGGACACCATGTCCAATGACTCGGACTCTGCCAGTTTTCTCACTGTGGACGAGAACTCGAAGATCGTGGAGAGCAGGTTTAGTGGCAAGATGGACAACGTGCCTATCCCCGTGCAGGTGGAGGAGCTCATTGTCGAAGAAATCATGCCGGAGAATGTGCGCACGGTCCCGCGCCGCAGCTTGGAGTTGGAGGAAGTGGAGGTGGAAGAGCTGGTCATAGAGGAGATCCAGCCTGTAAATGTGGGCATCGTCCCAAGACGCTCCGAGGAGTTCGTGGTGGAAGAGATCCAGTCTGAGAATTCTTCTCGACTGAGTATGGAGACACAGGAAGTGGAAGTGCCCATGGTGGTGCGCAAGGTAGCCAAGAAGTTGGTCGTTGGCTCAGGTGGACGTCGCAGTCGTGATTCCAGACGAGCGCCGGCCCCGCGGCCTACAGGAGCTCCTCCTCCACCTCCTAAGGTGGCAGACATGCTTACAAATAGTATGGCCAACGCCAGTGCCACGAAGAAGGCACGTGCTGCGCCACCTCCGACCCCAACGACAACACAGAAGTCCACACCGGCGCCAATGCCAGCGCCTGCCCCAGAACCGGAAGAGGAGACACTCAAGCTTGAAGACTTGCAGGTGCATCTGGACCGAATGAACCAGATCTCGGCCAGTCTGCGTGATCTTCGCAAGGAAATGAAGTCGACGACCGAGGCCCCGGTCAGTACGCAGACGGCTATGGCTGCACTCACATCCTTCGAAACGAAGGCAAACGCCGAGCGAGCAGCCAAGATCGCAGCCAACTTCATCAGCCTATTGGACCGGAACGCAGCCCCCGCAGCTCGACGTGCTCAGCAGCATCTGAAGCAGCATGACGGACCCCGTACGAGTCTGTTCAACTTGACGCTAGCCATGGGTGATGGGACCTTCGTGGACTACCTCGTGGACTCGACGTTTGAGGACGTCGGGGAGAGCCCCGACGGCCAAGGCATCGGGTGGCAGGCTGTGGTCTCGCAAACGACAGGCAAGCAGTATTTCTTCAACCAGAACTGCGCGCTTGCGTCCTGGACTTTGCCTGGACCCGACGTGTACCGGGGAATGGTGTACATGGTGCTCTAAGATCTGGAGACCCCCGTATTATTTAGCTAGCAACAAAAGGAGACCAACTTGAGTCCAATCCGTGTACAGTTCTGCGTCTAAGGAAACCAGAGCAAACAAAATAAAAGAATAGTGACGTCCATCAAATGCTTACCGCTCTTGATACTTGAACTTTTCACCTGTACGGACAGTCTTCCGAGCTGTGAGCTGTAGCAGGCATACTGCAGTGCGCACACTCAGCGGCCTTGGGGGTTCCTGCATCCGCTGACGACGTGATGCTCGTACGAGGCGTAGGAGGTCTTTTATCCATGACAGAGGCTGCCAGATTGGCGAAGCGTGACGAGAAACTCGCAAGTCCGGAGCTTGGCGTCGGTGGTTTGGCTGCAGTTGGCACTGGAGGAGGCAACGAGGCACTGGATGTGACGGACGAGCGTTGGTTGGAGATTTCCGACGCTGTGTCTGTCATGCTGCGGTTGCGTGGCGATCCTGGACGGAAGACAGCGAAGCGAATGAGCTTCTCCTTGCGCGCAAGTTTGCCCAGTAACTGGGTGACCTGCTGCAGCGACATGAGCGACGCGTTGGTCTCGTTGATGCTCATGATGTACATGCCTGGATAAACGTCTCCATGCCGCTCAATGGGCCCTTTTTCGCCAGTCGGGAGGTTGGTGAAGCCATGAACGACGGCGCATTCCTGGATGCCGCTGTCCAGTAGCACACCCAGTGGACCAGGAGGCACTCGGACCTCGACGATCTCTTCGATCTCGTTGTCACTCTCACTGTCGCTGTCATTGTCGAAGAATGCCGCTCCTTGTAGAGCTCCCTGTAGCATGGCGTCGTAGTCTTGAAGTAGAGTGACCGGGATCTCTGCATATTGGTAGTCGAACTTACGTAGCTCCTCATAGTACGGGTTGGAGCCGACGATCTTGTAGTCTGTGCCGGCCCAGAGATTCACCAGCTTGGCTTCTCCTTTATCTTCATAGTAAAGGCCGCGTACACTGCTCGTGCGGATGCTCGTGCTCGGCTCAAAGAAGACGACGGTGGCTTTGCGTCCGAGGTGGGAGATTACTTTGCCGTTTAAGCTCTCGGGTTCTAGTAGTAACAAATATATCAGTATTAGTCGTGATAGCAGCTCTTCTTGATATTCTATTGCTCACCTTTCATAGGCGCCACGCAGCCCTGAGACCGCAGCAACTCGATGATCTGCAAGTGACCCCTCCAAATGGCCAGATCCAGCGCTGTGTAGCCATCCTGACAGCAACGTTACGGTGTTAGAAGGCTGCAAAATACCATTTCACTAGTATCGCAGTAGTATTACGTCGGTGAGAGCGAGGACGTCGGCCCCGTACTGCAGTAACATCATGGCGATCTGCGTGTTCCCCACGAGGCAGGAGCAATGAAGCATGGAGAAGCCGCCGCTCTCGGTAAGTGCCGCCACATCTGCCTTGCCGATTTTCAGCGTCAGGTAGCGCCTCGCCTTCTCCACACTTCCCTCCAGTATCGCCTCGCGTAGATACTGATTGCTCTTGCCCTGCAGCAGATTCATCCTTTTGATCGATTCTTTTCGCTTTATGAGTTTAACCCACGCCGAGTTTTGGAGTCTGATATTCTAACCTTATGTACATTTGGTGTGTAGGATCGGACCAATCACAACCAAGTTGAAGTGAAAAATAAAATGAAATGATTTGTTTTTATGTTGTTGTTAGTGGTGACCGGAGCGATTGGCAAGAGAGGCAAATATCGAGTCCTGTTGCTGCAAAAGCGACGATGGGGATCCGAACTCTGCGACTCTTCCAGCGTCCATGACAGCAATCTTGTTGCAGTGCAAAATAGTGTTGATCCGATGCGCGATGATGAGCACCGTCTTATCCGCGAACGTCTCTTGGATCGTCGCTTGGATGAGGCGATCGGTGGCTGTGTCCACGTTGGCAGTGGCTTCATCCAGCACGACAATTCTGCTGTCCTTCAGAAGCGCGCGACCAATACACAGCAGTTGACGTTGACCCACCGATAGATTATCACCACGTTCAGAGACCACAAAGTCCAATCCAGTGCCCCACTTCGTGACTGTCGCTGCCAAATGCACTTGTTGCAAAACTGACCAAATGGCTTCATCACTGTAGTCTCCGAATGGGTCCAAATTGTCGCGAAGACTTCCACTGTAGAGCACTGGATCTTGAGGGATAATTGCCAAGCCACGACGAAGATCATGCAGTCGCACCTTGTCAATGTCAATGTCATCAATAACGATGGCGCCGCTATCGAAAGCGCAGATACGGAACAGCGCAATCATCAACGAGCTCTTGCCAGCCCCCGTTCGACCACAAATGCCCACTTTCTCGCCTGGTTGAATGTCCATACTGACACCTCGAAGCACTAGTGGCAAATCGGGACGATATCTCAAACACAAATTGTCAAAGCGAATGGCACCTCGCGCCGGCCAAGCAGCTTCATTGATAGGCACACAGTCGGCATTGTCCGTCTCCACTGGAATATTCCGGAAGTGTAGCAATCTCTCCACACTCGTCATCGCGTTATCCGTCAAGTCAACCGCTCGTACAACCCACTGGATCATCGAAGTCAACATCAATGAATACGAGAGGGAAATGCCAGCAACTACAGAATCCGTTTGTCCTTTTGACGTGACGAGATAAATTGTCACTACGAAAATCACAGCCACCGATAACCAATCCAAACGAATCGCCAGCCACCGTCCAGCTGCCCAATATGTAAAGTAGAACGAGGTGTTGTCGTCGACTGCTGCTTTGTTGAGCTCCACGAATCTATCCTGCATTTGGAACGCACGGATCGTGTGTAGACCATTCAGAGTCTCCCCGAACAAGTTGAAGACGGGAGAGCGAGTGACACCTTCCAGTCGCTTGACTTCTCGAGAAGTTTGCTTGAAATATACTCCAGTGATGACGAAAATGACCAGCATGGGCAGATACGACAAACCGACCCAGAAGGAAGCCAATCCGCAGACTACCAGGCAGCCAACGAAGACTCCTAAACTTTGAAAAAGAGTCTGGTAGTGCTGAGGTAAAACCGAATCCATTTGGTCGAGATCGTTGGAGAATCGATTGAGAATTCGCCCCACAGGTGTCACATCAAAGTACAGATTGATCGGAGCACTGAGCACACGTCGGAACAGCTCGTTGTGCAGACTTTTCGAGCTGCGGATGCAGGATTCCATCATCAGCAGTCCTCGAGCGATAGTCACGACCGAGCAAATAACGATGAAGCCAAAGTACCACAAACCGTACGACAGTTCAGAGTAACTCGAGTTGGATGACGACGCGCTTTCCATCTCGTTGGCCCAGTGTCCTTGCCACCAATCCACGACTACGCGCATGGCTTGGCCAGCTAAATATGCTGCGACGATGGTAAACACGACGAGAATTCCATTGAATCCAGTCTCATCGAAGTAAGACTTGTACGTTTGGCCACTCACTCGGCCCTTGACGCGGTCTTCGCTGCTGATCAATGCGGTGGTGTTGCCTTCCGCTTTACTCTGTTCGGGTACAAGAGAGTGGTCCTTCTTGGCAGGAATTGCGGTTGCTGAGGGTATTGTCGCTGATGGTTTTTCGTCATCTTCGTGCTCATCAATCACGTCTTGCTCGAGTTTATCCAGCGTGTCACTGATACTCTGTAGCTCTGGGAACTGAGCCAGAATATCCGAGTAAGTGCCGTCACCAGCGATTCGACCGTCTTGGAGCACAATAATCTTGTCCGCGTGCTTGAGAAGGTCGTAGTGGCTATTCAGTACAAGCAAACGGGTTTTCTCTCTTGCAATCCCCATAATACATCGACTGAAAATTGCGTGGGCGACGTGTGGATCCACCGCACTGAGCGGGTCATCGAGAATCAAAATGTCGTAGTTGGAGTGGTAAACAGCTCTAGCGATGGCCACACGGGCCTTCTGACCGCCACTTAAGTTGATTCCTCGTTCACCGATCTCAGTTTGGTCGCCGTCTGGGAGAGCGTGAAGATCCAACGCCAACTGTGTGGCCTCCAGCACTGAATTGTATTTGTCCGCATCAAACTCCTCCTCAAACAGGATATTATCCTTCACAGTGGCGTTACGAATCCACGATTCCTGACTCACATACGACAATCCACCACAAACATCGACTGCTCCATCCACCAGAATCATTTCACCGAGCAGAGCATTGAGCAGACTCGACTTGCCGGATCCTACAGTTCCAACGATCATGACGAGCGATCCCGCGTCAATTTCGAGGTTCACGCCTTCAAGTGAAAGATCGTGCACCTGAGCCAAGTGAATTTGCTCGTCTGCAACAGCATCAGAGTTGTCAGGATCAACAATGACGACGTCTGGAACAATTTTCGGCTCTGGAGACCACCTGAAGTGTGCGTTTCGAACCGAAATTGTCCCTGGCGATGGAGAATCATCGACCTTTTCCTCGTCGGAAGTTATGGGGCTATTTCCATTGGTTTTCTTGACTTCATCACTCCCGAGATACTCGTCCATACGTCGGTACGTCACAGAAGCTTGAGAAAGCGACGCGACTGCAAGTGGGAACATGTTGACAGCCAGGCGTGTAATGTTGACGACGTTGATGATTGTGTACGCATCTGTGACTGTCACTGTTCCGTTGATGCCAACGTAAATCCCCATGACCAATCCGCCGAGAAACACAGGAGTGAGAAACAGTAGAATTGTGTTGGTGATCTGGAGATAGTGGAATTTGCGATAATGTTCAATTTCCGCCGCTCGGATTTTTTCAACTCGATTGGCGAGTGATTCTTCCCATGCGTAAAATTTCATCACTCGAATTCCTTGCAGCGCCTCCGATGTCACTTTCACACGCTCCTCTGCGATACAGAGAAGTTCCTTTTGGACGTCTCCGATGTGGTCTGCGAGTTGCATCGACGTGTAAAGTACAATAGCCAACAGTGCAGCCCCACAAACTGCCGACACTCCATCGAACAACACTCCAATCAGAATGATTGTCACGAGAAATGCTAGAGGAGCGACTAAAATCCAAGGACCATTGATAATGGCGAAGAAAATGCGTTCCGAGTCCACACTCATCAACGTAGTGATCTCACCCGTAGTGTAAGCGTGTCGTGCGATACAGGAGAGACTCAGAGCCTTGCGGTAGACTATATCCATCGCAATAGCCCGCATATTGGCGCCCACTCGGGACGATAAGAAGAAGCCGTAGTTGAGGCATGTGATACCCACAAACGAGACCCCCACCATCAATGCCACGAGGACGTAGCCATTGTCAATGTTGAAGACGTTCGATTCGTCTTCAAGGTATTGCAAAATGGCCTTCGCAATGAATGGTTGCAACACCATCGCCGTCATGTAGGCGCAGTAATTGGCGATGATTGTCATGATCTCTCGACGAAATGTCTTGAGAAATGCCATAGCAACATGCGGAAGGTTGAACGGTTCCTTATTCGCAAGCGCATAGTGGCGACGGAAGCGTTCGTGTAGCACGTCGCAGGAATCTTGTGGAGCAACAGCCCAGATGTCCTCCTTCTCGAGTACCTTTTGGGCCCCAAGCGATACCAGAGGCTGTAGCCAGTGGGCAGATATCACGGACGGCAGTGACGCATGCTGCAAAGGATTGGCACGGAGTCGGAATGGCTCCTCTTGAGCGTATCGCTCAGCCAAGCGCAGTTTCTTGGAGCGTTTGGCACCGTCGTTCCTGGTATTTGGCGTGGGCGGGACTCCGACGTAGTTGCTGTCCATCGTGGCTGTGAACCAATTGGAGAATGAAGGTGATTGATGCCAACCAGCCGTTGGCAGACGGCACCCAGGATCCCGAAGGACGTTGAAGACAGCCTAATTTTTAATCCGGGCCAGCTAATCAACGCACTTGATGAGTCTAAACGAAAGAGTTGATGAGTGGAAAACTGCTGACGACGATGTGAGATTTGCATGTTGATCACGTGACATTCGCAGCATTGTGGATGTTGCACAGTGTGAAACGCTCAGTGGTTAGTTACACGGAAACGATGGAAAACGTTTTCCAAAACGCATCATCGAGACTTCGCGACCGGCACGAAATATTCGACTAGCTTCATTGGCGCTGAGGATAGTATCGCTGAAGGATAGCGGCAAGAAACAAACCAACGAGAAATTTAATCAGGCTATGTACAGAAACGGCTTCATGCAAAATCAATAATTTAACGTCAAGGCAAACAATTTGTTACTCGGACAGTGTCTCTGAGTTTGCTAGTTAAAAAGGTTGCCATGTCGACCGTCAATGCAGTAACGCTTCTGTTGTCCTCAAACCGCGAAGTGCTCACAGTCGCCTCTGGCTGTATCGTAAAACGGATCAACTTCCTTTGTTGATGGCAGATCATCGATCGTTGACAACGACTCGTTACTGGTAACGGCGGCCTCTGGAAATTCGATCTTTGGTGATATCGCGATGTTTGTCAAGCTTCGGTAGCACCGAAGTCTACGCTGATGACTACAAATGGCGACTTTATTGGGAAATGCTACAGCCGCTGTTCGAAGTTGTCGATAGGTTTGCAGTTCGTGAAAAAAATCTTAGATTAAAATTATTTTAATCGCTGAAAGCCCAGCACCACATTAACATGTAAGTTTTAATTACTGTTAATAAATTATCGGATGCCAAATGCTTTAAAATCACTCATGGTGATAAGTTACCATCTTGAGCGACTCTTTTTACATCAAACCCACTGTTCGTACTTATGTAGATGACTTTCACACACATGCTTTCGATTTTATTAACTCTCGTGGTTGTTTAATTTATTAAAATAACAATTTAATGGAATAATGAATGAATATGGTAAATAACTACAAATTGTAGTCTACAATACTGGACCAGTTTACTGCAGGGGAAGCAGTCATCTACGAAAGTTGTGATGCATCATCACAACTTTATGGCTGGCTCAGATTTGCCGCTCTTGTGAGTAAGGTAATTCTCCAGGTTTGCAATGTAGGCAAAATGCAGTAGAAACACACACAACACAGTTGGCTAAACAGCGTGATTCATCGTCCTCTTTTTCTTGGTCTCTAGCTACTGTATGATTCCAACAAAGGCACACACATGTAAGGGCGGTCAAAGCGGTCCCTTTGGCATGATTCTGGAGGTCCCGGCCCTCGTTGCAATCGACGCATGACGCTGCATCCAAACTTGCCGTTTATTTTCTCGAATCTTGAGACCTTGCTGCCAATCCCCACTTTTGTGCAAAAACAAAGTTAAACCGTTACTGCTATTTTTGCTTTTCAGAGTTCCAGACCACACGTCGAAATGGACCTGACAGCCGACGGCGGCCCCGACGGCGGCGTCACGTCCTCAGCCGCATGGGCCTCATGCTCGCTGCTGCTGCTTGGGCTACTCCGCTCGCTGCTATTGCACACGACGCGAGACTTCTCGGTGTTGGCTCAGCTGTTGCTGCTGCAATGGGCGCTGCACGTGGCCACTACCCGCAACTCAAGACGCGTACGCCACTTCTTATTCGACCCCCAACGCGCAACTTTAGACGCCGCACGCCGAGTCGCCAGTCTCTACGTGACATTGCAGGCACTACGCCACTTTGGACTGCTCTTTGCCTTCCTATTGCAACATTTGGACGTGTTATTGCTGCAACTCAAGCGATGGCACGGCACTGGAGACAGGAACAGCGCGCTATTACTACTCTTGGGCCACGTTCTGGTGGCAGGCGTCAATGCGGATGAATATGGGGCACTACTGTATACTGTACTGCTGCTGGGGGCGGCGTTGGGGCTGCAACTAGCTGCTCAATCGTCCACACTTCGAGGTATTGCGACAGACAGTGACGCATCGTCGCTATCCATTGCTGTGGCCACAGTAATCGCTGCCATATTGGCCTTCCTGACGCCCAAGAGTGTAGTTCACGCTCAGCAGATTGCCAACGATCGAGCGAGTGCTGACGGAGGCGTGATGAACGTGTCCACGTGGATATTTTCCCTGGTTGCTGCAGCTTTGATTCGGTTTGCAGCTGGTCACTTTGAGAGAAAGGTTAACTCATTATCATCGGCCAGTCAAGTGAAGGCGCAGCTGGTGTGTTCGTCAACGGGGATGATGTTGGCAATTATCGTTGCAATCTCGGAGTTTGGCTGGTTCCGTGGCTTTTTAAGTGCCGCGACTTGTGGTTTTATCCTGTACGTTCTGGTGGATCGATGGCGACGTGTTGATAATTCTTTTCGGGGCGGCGAGACGTATCTGGACACGTACAGATCTAGTAGGAAGTATGGATCTATTGAGGGTGGATTGATCGCGCATGTGCTTGCAGTGCTGTGGGCTAAGCGTGCCTCGCGTCAGATGCTCATCTTTCTATCGGTTAATGTTGCCTTCATGTTCGTGGAGCTGGCAGTTGGTCTGTACACGAACTCTCTGGGACTCATGGGCGATGCAGGGCACATGCTATTCGATAATGGGGCGCTCGTGATTGGTCTTGTGGCCTCCTACATTGGACAATTACCACCTGATGCACAATTCACTTATGGATATGGTCGCGTAGAAGTTCTATCGGGCTTTTTGAACTCACTGTTGCTACTTGTGGTGTCGTTCCACTTGATCACTGAAGCTGCGTCGAGATTTATGGATCCACCTGAGGTCACAACGGACCATTTGCTGCTTACGTCAATCGCTGGACTAATTGTGAACCTCGTGGGACTATTTTTCTTCCATGACCATGTACATGGCCACAGTCACAGCCATGGAAGCGACTCAGGAGGTTGTGGTGGTGGCCACGGACATAGTCACGGGAATAGCCACCACCAGGCGCATGGTGAAGACGCCTCGGAAGACGGTCATCACGGTGGGAACAGTAACATGTATGGGGTGTATCTGCACGTACTGGCCGATACTCTGGGCAGCGTGGGCGTGATTATTTCGTCCATACTGATTCACTTGTACGAGTGGCACGTGGCGGACTCGGCGTCTTCTGCACTCATCTCACTACTGATTTTGGGTAGCACTCTTCCTTTACTGCGTGATACTGCTCGACAACTGCTGCAGGGAGCTCCACAAGAGCTAGAAAATAGTGTGAATGCGGCGCTACAAGAAGTCGAAGCCTCCGTCCCAGGTGTGGAGCGTATTGCGCAGTGGAATATCTGGCATCACGCAGGAGACATGCGCGTCGCGACGTTACATCTTGAGGTTGCCAACTCAGCAGATGAGCAGCGAGTACTGCAGCAGACCCGAATAATTTTCCGACGTCATGCTCAACTCGACAAGTTCCTGTCTGTACAGATTTCAAAGCCTCAAGTGATTGCCACAATGGGACTGGAAGGTTTGGGCGCTGAGCAGGCCACGGTCATGAACGGATGCAGCGCTGGTCACAGTCACAGCGATGGTCATGGTCATGGTCATGGTCATGGCCACAGTCACGGTCATAGCCATGGGATGGAGCCTCTGTTGGACACCCATACATCGTTTTCATTACAGCCGCAACGCTCACACAACTATCTGCAACAGCCTACGATGAGCACACACGAGAACCCAGTGAGTGACGACTCCAGATACGCCACTTCGCCACAACTTCCACTAAAACCCCAGCATGATCACAATCACGAACATGGACTTCACTTCCATCCAGCGTCCACGTCAAATGCTTTTCCGCGCAACACTACAGACTTCTCAGGAGCTCAGCGTTGGTAGTGCCCTGAGTCTATCTCGGAAGTTATGGTGCTAACACCCGATCCAGTTATGAATCATTTTTGCCGTGTATACAGAGATTTTTAAAGTAAGTCGAGAAGCCGTAGACGTGTGGGATGATGCCGTCAACTATTTTCATTGAGTAGTATACAACCAACATGAACAGCTTGCCTATTCTGATCACAGGTGGCATTCATGCTTTTTCCTCTAACGATTGCAGCATGAACGAGGATCGACTATCAATCAGTAGGCCATCGTCCGATTCCACGGCGCTTCTCCTAGTCGATACGCGTGCATCGCAATCACTGGAGCCGATTCGTTTACCGACCAAGCTGAGAGATCGAATCGACCGTGCACAGCGTCGTGCCAATGCTGTCAAGGATGGCGTCTCAATATTCACGAAAGACTCCAAGGACTCGGCCATTTCTGTATCAGCAGCGACAGTAGGGAGACGAACTGCCACTGCTCCGACACCTGAGACCACCACAGCCTCACTGTTCGGCGACTTTGTCGACCCTCATCGTGTTTCGACTGCAAGCGGTGGAATGGACGACAAGATGCACCTTCCTAACGTCGTGCTTAGTCACAAAATGCGGGACTTTGAAGCGCGAGCAAACGCAGGAGGCAGCGTGGCGCTCTTTTCAGCCGATCCAGCAGACCGAAGTTTGCAAAGTTTGTCCCTGGAAGACCGCGAACGCGTCATGTTGGTGATGCAGGCAAAAATCCGACAAATTGCCAGCGATGTGGATGCGAGTTTTGCTCGGATCACGAAGGCTCTTGATGCGAACGGGATTTTCGACTCGGCTGCCAATATCCAGCGAGCGCAGACACTTTGTCTAGTAGATCTACAGCGTCGATGTAAGCTGGATAAACTTCGAGACGAGGCCATGCGCGAGGTTTTGAACCTACCAACATCAACACCATCGAACCAGAAGAACCCTGTTAATGCCTCTCGCAAGCTCAGTCAACTTCTGAGACCGACAACTCGAGCAACATCCGCCGAGATGGTAGCAGCAGTAACCTCAACGAAGCGTAGGAAGCGGAAGCCAGTCCGAGTCTCGAAGCTACCTGCACTCAGTAAGACTGATGGAAGCCTCAACAAGAACAACCAGGCTTCTTCGCCTCAATCTCACCAGGATGATCGTACGAGTGTTGGTGTGTCTCGGATGTTAACACGGCGTGGTGGACTTGCACCTCCTGTTAGTGCATCTCAGATTGCGGTACGAGAGGAGGTTTCGTTCACTACTGGGGTTCCTATTAACAAGAATGCCAACGACTGGGAACTCTACACTCAACACTCTCATGTGGCACAGATTCTGCAGCTACTAGCAAAAGGGGAGTCGTCGAATACCAAAGGATCTGGAGCTTTTAACCCAAATAGCGCCGAAGCCGATATGGACCATTCGCGAGTGTTGGACCCAGTAGATGAGTGGACTCAACGCTCTCCCAGCTACCAGTCAGTTGGTGCTCGAGCTGCAGAAGCAGTTCGTAAATGTGGTGAGCGTCAGCGTTGGGATACACTTGTACATTTCCGCTCAAATTTCTCTCGACTGGGTGTCTCTGCTGCACTTCGACAGCGTTTAGAAGCACAACACTCGACCTGGAAGAAGGGCCAAGACACTATAAGAAGTGACAATGGCGAAGAGAGTGCAGACTATGGAAGAGGAAGCAGCAACCAGCAACAACGAGACAAAGAAATTTACGCAGAACTGCAGGCTCACATCCGTGAACGCCTCATTGCTAGTGAGAGACGAACAAGGACAGCAGCTGCAACTGTACGAGTAGGAAGGAACTCGAGTAAACTGCGTCTGCCACAGACAGCACCAGCGAAGATAATAGCAGCAAGCAGCTCGACGATATCTCTTCCAGTGGGTGAAGTATCTGCGCTTCAAGGAGATCAACTACAGCCGCTACAAGATGACGTTCCGTCCCCAACTCTCGGTATATCCGTGTCTGAACCAGTTTTATCCACCAGTACGTCAGACTTGCCATCTTCCTCGTCACAGAAGCATTCTCGGTTCGGTTCTCGCGTTCGGATGTCGGTGTTGGAGCTGAAGATGATGAGGGATCCGTCCCTGTTAATGTCGAGGCATGGGAGGCGGAAAGAGTCACTCATCGGCGCTCCACATACCCAGTTAGGCAGTAAAGCCATTGGTCGTCACTCAGAAGCTCGGATAGCTTATCGAAGAGATACAGCCCAGACGTGGGCGTGGCATTTACCTCCTGACACAAACCCTGATAGTGTAGTGGATACCATTGTAGAGGATGATGAACGTGATGAGGATCGCTTTGATGAAGAGGGCTACGATCAAAATGATGAGGATAACAGTGAAGAAGGAGAGGAACGAGAAGATGGAACGGAATATGCTGAAGATGATACCGAAAGTGTCGATAGCAGTCGCACTGGGTTCTCAGCCAGGAGTTCGATGAGCATGTCGTCTGTGAAGAGGAGCACCAATAATGGCAGTAGAAAGCATGGCAAGAATAAGAGACCACCGACTGTGCAGCGTCGGGCAAGTCGTGGTCCTGGCGGTCGTTCTGCGGCGAATACGTTGACAGGCCATGCTCTGAGTCTTCATGCTCGACTGGAAGTCATTTGGCGCGTGCTACAGTTCCCTTATTCGAACAAATTGACAATGCTGGAACGGTTGTCAACGCTGCAAGACGCCGACGCTTTTGTTTCTGTGCTGGAACATTGGGAACGTGTCACTCCGTTGGTCGCTATTCGGCAACGCATGAAGCTTGCGTTGTCCGGATATGCCGAACGTGGAGACTTGCGTCCAAATGAATGGGTTACTCCCTCTGAAATTGCACTTGTGTCTGCGCTGCCACAACCGCCTGAGCCGAATTCGGATGCTTTGCCACCTCGCAAGACTTCGCTCGGTGAGGTTGAGACCATATCTCCATCTGCATTTATTGAGTGGGTACGTTTCTATAATGTTGTCGTTGCCGCTCTTGGTGCGATTTTCTAATGACTCTTTTGTTTCGTGCTATAGGTTCGAACACATTTCGACACAGTGACGTTACAGATACAAAAACTGGCAAATGATCTCAAAACTCACACTGGGGAAGAACTACAATTCCAGGGACATCCGTATCCACGCCGCAGATAGCTTATAGATTTCCTGTGGAGTATTAAATAGCGACTGAAAAAGAATTGGATGCTGCGATACAAACAAGAAGACGACAGCACCCGGTTGAACATTAGGAACGCGACCGCACCTGGTTGGACGGTAAGAATTTGTCTTTTAGAGACCAGTCTACTGCCATTGATAAATCGATCCTTCAAAACGATACCGATGGCAACTACTTGTTCTGATCGGTCGATGCCTCCATCGAGGTATCTTGTTGGTCTGCCCACGCTTGGATGGCGGCCAGAAGTGCGCCCACGCCTACATACAAGAATCAAGAGGCGCAGTCACATATACCGCTATCGGTTTATAAGCTTCATTGTCAACTTACCGTCTCCAAATGCGAGCTTGGAGGCTCCTGCAGAAGGGTCCAAACCGAAATTGGCCATGACGGCGTTGAAGTTGCCCGTCTGCAGAGCATTCACTAAAGATCCGATGCTTTGACGCAACTGGGGCGATCGCAGCTTCACAAGTCAAAAAGGGTATCACAAGTTAGTTTTAAGTCAACCACTTACAGAGTGCTCCAAACTCCATCTCACCGTTGCTCGAAGCTCGGCTGGAGTCTGAGAGCCTTCAGGCAGATGTTGGAGCAGAGCTTCAACGCTCGCGGGGTCGTCGAGGATAGAACCCAAATTGTCGGCACTGAGCAGTTTAGTCAGGGCCACAGGCTTCGGTTGCTGCAATAGAAGATCAATACAACATCAGTATTCAGGAACACCTCTAGCTAAAGGAAAGACTTACGGCGAGCTGCTGGAAAGAAGCCATTGCGCGCTGGAGATCTGCAGTAGTGAGAGTTCCAGCAGCAGGAGTCATAGACGCAGATGCAGGTGCAGCGGGAGCTGGAACGGTGGCAGCCGGTGTTGGTGCAGGAGCTGACGGTGTAATAGATGAAGCTGCAGCATCTAACAAGAACAACAAAAGCACAAAGTCAGTTAAAACAAAGTCCGCGTTGCTAATAGACGCCTCAGGACCGTGACCAGCAAGCCTACAAATGTAACAACAGCACAAACCACAATAAAGTGTGAGAAAACCTATTGTTTCAAGCACAGGTGAAGAGAGAAGAAAAGCGCAACTCACGTAGGCGTTAGTAGGCTGACAAGCTGCATGGAACCGAACAAATGGAGAACTCTTTGTTGGAGAATTACATGCTACCTACCCACATGGGTACAAGCCTTCCACTCCTCGGTCTCCCAACAGCTTTAGGACGACGTGTCCATGTTGCCCCCACCAGAGCCGCTGCCACTGTTCCCGCCGCGTCTGTTGCCACTCTCTGAGTCACCTGCAGCGTTGCCTCCAGAGGCGTTGGGGTTGGTGCTTCCTCCGTCGCGCATGCTTTCCTCGATTGCCAGACGTAGCAGCTCGTCCTCGTCCATCTCGTCCACTTCCATGCCGCTCACATCGTGCTCGTGTTGCGTCGACGCCGTGGTGGCAGCCGCTGAGCTCCCTCCGCCACTCTGCGACGCCTGAGATGACGATACGGCGGACGTGGCAGGCGACGAGGCCGCCGACTGAGCGCCCGCAGGCAGTCCCATGTTTTGTAGAATGTTCTGCAGCTCCGACATCTGTACGGCTTGGCCGCTACCGCCAGCGCCGCCGCGTCCCTGGTCTCCTGCGCCCATAGCGCCCAGCATCTGCATGATGGCGTTGTGGTCCAGCTGCACGTTGTTGCCGGATCCACGGCTACCGTCGCTACTCGAAGTCGCTTGCGCGTTGTTCATACAGTCGTTCACCTTCTTGACGAGTTCCTCATCACGCGAAGCATCCTTATTCTGTAGGTTAAATACAATAGATAAGAGGGTTCGTTGTCGAGAGTGAGTGCATCTATGAGTGAATATACCTGCATCCAGAAGAAGAAGCGACGCGACGAGTTCTTGTACTGCAGAATGTACACGCGGTCGTCGGGGCGGCCTGTGTCCACCTTGGCGAAGTGCGCGTCGTCCGGGAAGATGATAAAGTCCTCGGGACTGGCGCCGGTCTGGCGGTCGACCCACTGGAAGTGCAGCAACTGGTCGTCTCCACGCGAGAGACACACTTTGCCCTTCTCCAGCTGAGGAGTGACGAGGAATTTGCCATTGGCAGTAGGCTTGACTGTCATCTTGCCGGCGTTGAACGACACCAGCTCGTTCTGAATAGACAGCAGAGTCAGATACCGGGAAAGCAGTACGCGTGGATTACAGCAATCTACGTACACGGCCGGCGGTGCTTGGCGCGAATACGTTGCCGAACTGCGGGAAGAGCGACGACGCCATGACGTTCTTGGAAGCTTTTTGCTAAATGGGGCGGAAGATACTAAAAGCGTCTAATTAGTTTAAACAACGTGCTATTCACGTTAGATGCTAAATAACCAACGTTTTGATTGTCATTTTTCAACAATGGCGCGGCAAGTGCTAAACTATCACGACGTGCAGCTGTACGAGTCGGATGTGGCGCTGTTCGCAGGACGCCAGTGGCTCAACGACAATGCCGTCAACTTCTACTTGCAGTATCTGACGCAGACGGTGGCTTCACGCGACGTGCTGCTCATGGATCCGGCCGTGGTCTCGTGTTTGCAGCATCAGTGCGAGGATGAGGACGAGTACCAGGACCTGGCTTCGGGGCTCAATTTAACGAGCAGACAGCTCTGCATCATTCCAGTAACCGACAACGACTCGCTGGGCGGGGACAGTAGCCATTGGTCACTGCTGCTCTATCGCGACGGAATGTTCCAACACTTTGACTCGAGCTCAGGTCACAACAAACATGCGGCACGGCGCGTAGCTGAACCCTTTGAACTTCTGCTGCAAGCTGCCGGGCGATACGATGGAGACGGAGCTTCTCGACACGTAGAGGAAGTGCAGGACGTCCCGCAGCAGCAGAACGGCTACGACTGTGGCATGTACGTGTTGGTACTGGCTGAGTATTTTTGCCGCCGACATGCGGGCGAGATGGAGACTGTGTCACTTGACGACTATGCAACGCCAAAGAGAGTGACGGAACTTCGATCGCAGATGCCCAACCTCATCGAGAGGCTGAAGGTACGAACTTAAGAAAACTGCAACAGCTTCAAGTAACAACGCAGAAATCGGATTGGATAAAAAGAGGAACTTTTTGCAAGGATCTCTGTCATTTTTTCGAAAACTTGTGCAAAATGCAGATCGCGATCGTGCAGTATGGTGCGTTGTGGGGCGTGTGTGTTTACAGTGAGATGGCAGTCAACGGGTGCTGATGATTTAGAGTTCATTGCCGTCTTGTAGACTCGCAGCTCGGGCAGGTGGAGCGCAATATGGAGGTCAGTGTTGGTGCTGCGTTCAAGGCGATTGCAAGCAGATATGTGAAGCTAACTGATCCTCTCTTTGACTTGCAGTATGTGGATAAAATGGTGGTGTTGCTCTCCGAAGAGGACAAAATCGATGTGCTGATGCTGTCAGAGGTGTGTGAACAATGGAATGGTTGTTATGTTTTGCTGCTGACTGTGCGTTGTTGTTGTGAAGATGGCATTTACAGGGTACGTGTTCAAGTCCAAAGCTGATGTGGCTCAAGTGGCCGAGGTGGCGGGTCAAGGACCGACATTCCACTGGTGCCAGCGCCAAGCGCGTCGGCTGCACTGCATGGTGACCTGTGGCTATGTGGAGAAAGAAGGCGAACTGCTGTACAACTCGATGCTGGTTGTTAGCCCTGAGGGTGAACTCGTGTGCAATCCACGCAAGACGTTTTTGTATGAGACTGACAAGTCATGGGCCACAGCAGGAAACGGTTTCTGTACGTGGCACTGTCCGTGGCTCAACAAGACCATTTCCTTTGGAATCTGCATGGACATCAACCCGGATGACTTCAAGGCTCCGTTCTCGGCGTATGAGTTTGGCACGCATGTCGTGGAGAACAAGAGCGACTTGGTGCTGTTCGCTTGTGCCTGGAATGACTTTGAGGATCATGATGTCGAGCCGTATCGGACGCTCTCCTACTGGGCGGAACGTCTGTCCCCGGTCATCACGGCGCTGGGGACAGGAGAATATACCAAACCAAACTGCCATTTTCTGTGCTCAAATCGAATTGGCTCGGAGAATGGCACGTTTTTCGTTGGGGCGAGCTGTGTCCTCTCTCTCAAGGAGCCTGCTGTGGTTGCACACGCCGGACGGCGCTCAGAGGAACTACTCCGAGTTGAGGTTCCTGACGAAGAAATTGCAGCAGGTGAGTAATAGACTGCTTAGTGTTAGAAGCATGAGTCCGGTAGTGGAATCAATATTGCTTCAATGGTAGATCACAATCTTTAATTCATTAGGCGTTCAATGGTGGTTCATCTTAACTACACTTCCCATGACTGATGCTGGGTGTTACATGTATTCACAAAGTGCATGTCCGTCCCGTATTAACTAACGCATTATGTTGTGACTTCCAAGTTAAGATTGACTCGTTACAAGTACATACATACTGTAGTAAAGGAATTTTGATGAACAATGATGCAGCATAGGTAGCATTTTTCCGGGTCAGATCAACGAACCTGCTAACCTCAGACATCTCGAAATTCAGTTTTAAGGTCCCGCTCGATGCAGCACCGCTTACGAGCCAGTGTAGGCGATATTTCTTGCCGGGTAGGCGATCACCAACCAGTCTTCAGACGTCGCACTACAATTTGCAAACACCGGAATGCAAACCGAAAGTGATAATGACTTCAACAACCCATTTCTTATGTTGCTCGAGAAGTAGAGACCAGTCAAAAAAAAAAAAAGCAAATACCATAGACTTCCCAGCAAAAGAATTCTACATGCGTGGGAGCGATGGAGGTCGATTCACTATTAGCAGACTACGTAGCATGAGAGCATCACTTCAAGAAAAGTTCACCAAATAGTTGCATATTGCAGTACATGTACAGCTATCTACGGAATCATTGCGATACAGTAGCACGAGTGGATTGAAGGGTCGCGTTTGGATTTTCTTCATTCGTCTACCGACAATGGTTATATGTCCAATAGCGAATGCAGGAGTGCGTGCGTGTGGGCGGCAACAAGTCGTTGCCATTGCCAATGACTGGCAGGCAATCGTCTGCAACTTGCAGTAAGCAAAGCCCAGCGACGAGGATCTGCTACCGGTGACGCGTTTTGGCCGGTGGTGCCGACGTCATCGCCGAAGTGACCCGTCGTTGGATTGTGGCACAATGCGGCGGTTGATCAAAATTCTAATGCATGTAGATGTAGTGTGTCTTCAATTTGACTAGTTATTTAAGAACCTAAGGTTCTCCAGGAAACTTGAGTATTTAAGAACAGCACCCAAACACAAAACTACCGCTTCGATAGAACACCAGAAAGCTTTCGTCGGCCGAAGTGACGTCGCACCCAACGTAGCTTCTTTGTAACGGCGACGAGTCCCACGTGGCTTTCCGCTTAAGTATAGGTTTCAAAACTGATTCAAGCACTGCGTTTCAAATTATTGTTTAATTTAGAGAAGTACGTTTATTTGTTTTGGCCGATACAAAGTTTAGCCCCAGCCAAATACTTTGGAAGTTTCAGGAATGTTTTTGAAACAACAAGAAATGTATACCTATGCGGGAGATCACATCGTGACGCGCACGGGTCAATTCCACAGTTGGGTCTCCGCTCGGCCGACGGTACGCTCGTCATTGCCATTTTTGCGCCGTCACGCCCACGTCGGTCACCGAAAAGCTCCAGCTTGAAGCGGAGGACCTTGGGACGATCTTCATCGGCAGCAGCACCAGCAGCAGTAGCAGCAGCAGTGGCAGCTTGGCGGAAGGCTGACGACCGGATGCGTGTGAAGAAGTTGAACGTGAACCGACGCCACAAACCAGGGGAAGACGAGGCCGTCGCGGCGGGCGGAGACAGCGAGCAGCGCAAGTGGGTGAGCCCCACCAAGCCTCAGCGAGGAGCAGAAGTCAGCACCGGCAGCAACAGCGGCTCCAGTAGCCCCACAGACGTCCAGCAACAGCAGCACCTGGACGAACACTCGCCGTTGGTGTTCCAACCCCACAACAACTCGGACCTGTACGCACGCGGCGGAGCCGGTGGCGTCTCAGTGATGCCCAACACTGCAGCGGATGAGGCGGCGGATAAGAGCCCAATGCGCAAGGCGATGATCGACCGGATCGTTGAGACCCTACGCGCCATGAAACCTCACGCTCCCGAGAAGGTGCTGGCTGCGTTGCCCCGACTGGCGTTGCACATGGAGAAGGCACTGTTTAAACTGGCCAAGAACGAGGCCGAGTACTGCGATCAATCCACATTGAGACTGCGTATCACTCACATCCAGGAAAACAATGCCAAACGGTTACTAGCCCAGCAGCAGCAACAACAGACACCCGAACAGAGCGGCAACACAACCGTTCCGCCGCTCAAGCCTCTGACCGAGGAACAGGCTCGCGTCGTCTTTCAGTGCCTGCAGTCATGGCGCCAGAAGCTCGTCAATATGTATGGGGTAGCACCATGGGACATCTTGCCTAACGCTACACTGGCCAAGGTGGCGCTGTACATGCCGTCGACTGAGCAGGAGCTCTCCGTGTGTGGCGTGGGGAACGAGCAGATTGCGCGCTTCGGCTCTTCCCTGGTGCAGGAGCTTCAACGGCTTCGTGGCCCTGCTCCCAGCAAACCAGCCGCTCGGCCGATCAAGGCCAAGCCAGGGCGCAAAGCAGGTTCTGGCAAGCGTGGATCTTCGGACTCGTCGGCTTCCAGCGCCAATAAGAAGCGCAAGAATGGAGAGGCGGCACGTCTGGCCCCAGCAGCGCCAAGCTTCAGCGGTACGTCGCTCATGGCTCCAGCGCCGCTGCTTCCTGCTGTGGACTCGCTCCCGACGTTGCTACCGACGGTCTCGATGATTCCTGGAGGCGTCACAGCCTCAGCAAGCGCCACTAGTAACTCGATGGCGATGAAACAGTCACAATTTACCAATACAACACCGACACGGTTATCTCCAGGGCAGCAACAGCCATTCTTCGCGCGGTTGCA